AGAAGGAGACGTAGAAGCAGAATGACATCGACTTTTCCGAACAAACAAATATTTTTTCAATTCTCTAGAGATAATAACAAAACACAAAATTTTTTAGAATAAACAATACGATTAGGTAAGATATAGGAACTTTTTTCGAGTAAATGATTACTCTCGTTCTCTCAAATTTTATCGTAAAGTTCTATGAATGAAGTTGAATGCTCAAAAGAAGATCAGAATAGAAGCCTGTTAAGCTATTAACATTGTTTTATTAAAAATTAAGAAGATGTGAGTAGAGGATATTTCATACCAAATGTTTTCATAACAATCACTAAAGATAAGAAGATTTCTTTGAAACATTGTATCCAATATAAACTAAGCTGGTCCGATTATAAGCAAGATGGATTTTCAGTTGATCAAGCACCACGAGGAAGAAAAATTGGGAGAAAGAACAGAAAAAAGAGCCACAGTAAAAGGTTTCAAAATCAGCTCTTTGATTATTAGAGTTATTAGATAATTCGTAAGAAAAAAATTGGCTTCATTTGGGTGGAAGGAAATGGATAGACGCTAGAAAGAATCTGGCAAACTTTCGCGAGCATATTGGTGAGACAGAGGGAGAAAAACCAAACGATCAAAAAATTCGAGAAAAAATGAACTTTCAGGATAGCAAACATAGAAAATTCCCAAAACCCTCATAGTAGCTTGATCAAGTTGGCAATGATGGATTACCAACTTGATGACGCAACCCATTAGTTAGCATAACTGAGCAGATAAATGATAAAACCCTTAATTGGGCTCTAAAATAGAAACATTCCTAGAGAAGATCAAAACTCAAAGAGAGGAGTTTAAAGTGTAAGAGAAAATGCTTAGAAAGCTCTTAATCCTGATCCGTTGGTCGTTACCGCTGTTGGATGCAATTTTGATTTTACGTATTTGCTTTCATGACTTCTCTATTCCCATTTAATGGACAAACGATTGCGCAGGTTTTCATCGAAAAAAACAAAAGCGAAAGAAGTTAGGGAAGGAAACTCAACAAAAGCATAGTTATACACCCAAAGCTTTTGGGCTCTTTAGCAAACTCATAAACTAAGGCAATGAATAGAGAAACAATGATGCATTAATGAAAAACAATGATCTAGACAGAGCAAAGGAATCAAGAATGGAATATATCCGATTTTTCCAAAACAGGCTCACCTTATATGACAACAGGAAGTTAGAAGTAACCTATCCACACTCAGTATAACGAACCCTCCGGACTATAGCAGTTGCCCCAGATGCTCAGAGATGAAAGTACTATTCGTATTCAGATAATCTCGCCTGAAGAAAAATAGATATTTACTTCGAGTTCTTTACTAATCCGAAGAATCAGGCCTATTGGTTCTTGAAAATTAATGAAATTTCGGTCATTCGAGATGAAGCTGGACAAACGCAAGCGCATGAAAGAGCATCAAAGTTCAGGTTTGTGCCAAGTTTATGCTGTCACGAGAACCAACAAACTTTCAACGAATTCTTGTGTTGATGAATTTTTGAAACTCATCGGATCGTTTAAAACAAGAACGGAATGAGTAAAATGGTATCAAAGAGAGAACTTGTACAAAGCAAAAAAATAAAGTTTTAGAGAGCAATATAAATTTTATTATTACATACTATACACAATAATCTACATTGGCTCATCGCATTACGACGAATAGAAATAATTTAATTACAAACAGAAATCTGTTACACATCTATACAAGGAATCTGAAAGTCATAGGGACTGCAATAACTCTGAGGTGAATACATTCCCGAAACGCCAACAGGCATCGCAGTAGAACTGCTCGTCTGAACATAAAATTATTTTTCTGCCAAAACGGTTTCTCATAATTAGTCGAGATTGTGACACGACGAAAACAATTTTTTTTTCTAAAAAAGAACCTACCGTTAAACTAGAAGAATGGTTGTCTTGGCTTGATTTGGCATAAGAATAATGTTCCTTTAAAATAAGAATTAAATAACATGATAGGAAACAGTGCACCTACGGTTTTATATTTTTGTTGATCAGTTTGAGATTGACCATCATCAGAATAGGGAGAGAAAGGTGTAGAGCAAGACTCATAGCCAGATGAATGTCCATCACTTGATCTTCTTTTCTGCATCAACAATATGTTTTATCAATCTCAGCTTATGATTTACCTTGATTTTGATTGAGCTGACAGTTGGCTTTCTCTTCTTGAATCGGGTGACTCGGTTACGCTTGCTTTTCTCAATTAACATAGCAATATCCATGAAGCCTTTAACTTTAGCTACGTCAACAGGATAATGGTCCTTAAAAATTAGTTCACGTTGATGGGAATATCTTTAAATGCATACTAGTTCATCAGGAATATTTCCATTGGCTCCTGAATGAAGAAGAGCCTCAACGGCATTATAATTTCCGCAGATTGTTGCTTGCCACACTGGAGTGCAGCCCTAGAATGATGTGAAAAAAACAGAACTTTGAGAGGCGAAACCTGAGAGTCTTCCGCATTGATGTTCACTTTTGGCAAATCAACTAAAAACTTAATCATCTCAACGTTGTTCATTTTGGCAGCATAGTGAAGTACGGTCATTCCATTGTAATGAAGCGAGCTCTTAAACAAAGTATCTTAGTATTAGCTTTGAGATCAAACCCAACCTTATCTCCAGAATCAGCTGGATCAGCACCTGCCTTAATGAGAAGTTTAGCAATTGGAATGGCAAGAATGGGAGCGTATTCAGCACATAACATCAAGGGGGTTTTGTCCAATTCATCAACAGCGTCAATAGATCTGCGACCATCAACCAACTGAAATCAGAAGATTAAAACACTATTTTGCCTTCTGCGATCAGATTAACTAACTGAGTTCACAATTTTATCGTAGGCGAGTAGGAGTTGAACCATGTTTTTATCCATATTGTGAACGGCATGATGTAGACAAGTTGAGTAATTCACATTCATGATAGTTCCATCTGCTCCATTGTCCAATAGGAACTTGGCCAAATGATAATGACATCCACGTACCGCAATCATGAGTGCTGTTTCTTCCTCTGAAAAGAGATGGAGAATCAAAATTTCTAATTTCATTAAGTTATCCTACTTTCATCTTGAGCATTAATGCAGACGCCTTTCTCGAGAATTCTTTGTGCTGAGGCGACAACAGATTGCCAATTCGCCCTTCCACAGCCATCTGCAAGCCAGTGAAGTTCAGTTCTCTCCACTTGCTTCTGAAAAAAACATGAATTTAATTATAATTTGCAGAGATTTGTGTACTTCGTCGTGTTGGATGACGGTGTATGTTGGTCGTTGAACTGTTTTTCTTGAAACAATGGATCTGAAAAGGATAAACTAAAGATTTTTTGTATGAACAATAACATGCCCTCCATATTCTTGAGTTTGAACTATTCCTTCTGCACAACCACGTTTAGCCGGTAATCCATCTTCAATGTGAATAAGGTCTTTTGCTAGAGAAAGAAACATCTTTTCTTTTTTAGAAACAATTCAATTACCCGAAAGTTCGGAAGGGGGGAACCACACAGCTGCTGTAACTGCCCGTCTTTTACGACTCCTTGTGATAACTCCATAAAGTAGAAACAGTACAGCAGCTAATGACATCAAACAGAAAGCCAAAGCCATCATAGAACTTTCTCTTTTTTCCATTTCATGGTTTCGAGGGACAACGTGCCCTCCTTCGCTCAAAACAGCAGCAGTCACAGAAACATTCAGCTCATCCCATTCCTTTGAAAAAAACAGGAGTGTAATTAAATAGTAGAAAAAAATACTTTGAATTTCTGAATACGATCTTCAATGTACTCAGCGGTGCAAATATCACATTTTCTCATAGTCAGTCGAACTTTTAAAGTTACAGAGACTATAGGTAGTTCACCATTCTCGTTTGACTGAAAAAAAAACAGATGAGGAGGAATAATTCGAATATTACTTCGTAAGGATCTTCAGGATACTCAAAATTCTCGAAATCACTTATATCAGTTAGAAGCTCGGCTTTTGATCGAGTGGCCATTTGTATGTTTCCCATAAAAATTCCTTGATAGATTGAGAAAACATACTCGGACATCATGAGAGATACAGAAACATCGATACTTGTCTGAAAGTTAATTTTAATAGGAGGTGTAAAAAAACAATAGGGCAACTAACAATCTCCTTGATAGGATCAACTTCACAATCGTTCTGCTCAGAAAAGCCGTTATCACATTCGATATCACAAAAGCCATTGTTATTGATCCTGGCACAATAGTTTGCCATATAAGCAGGGGGGAAATGCTCCGCATTTATTAGTAAAATAGAAGATAATATTATTAGTGAAATATAGTGAATAACCATCTCGCTTAGTGACAATAACAGTATTAGAGATAGTATAGGAGCTGGAAGACAACCAACTACGAGAAAATCTAATGAATAGACTGATGAAATAGAGGGAATACTAGTAATATCACGAAACTACAACTGTAGTCTGCTCTTGAGTTTATGAACTTTAAGACCAATTATCTCATGATTTATTGGATCTTCAGGCTATCTCTCAGCTACGCTTATTTGGAGAAATTGCCATTGGCCAGCAGTGTGATGTACAGTTAAACACCATAAACTAATAAACTTGAGAGCACGAATACGCATTACAGTAAGTCTCACATTAATTACGATATATTTATAAAAATTACAGATGGAATAAGTACAAACAAAGCGAAATGTTTTTAAGATTGAAAAGAGCCGTTTATAGATCACAGAAAATTACAGAGTTTAACAACCAAAAAAACAACCATTCCCCACAACAATAATGCACAGTAAGACAATCTTATAACATTCTAGAACTACATAAGAAACATAGGAAATTGTCAAAGATTGAGGAATCATTATTCTTCATATTGCTATTTAGAAAAACGGTTATGTTGAAGGAGTCACAATCAAATGTTGGAGGGCTACATACCCGATGTACGTAAAATATTTCAAAAAGCTACAAGTTTTGAATAAATTATGCATATTACAGTTGTAGGTTGACTACAATTGAAGTTTAACGATTTTTAAGTTCGTAATGAGTCCTCTTTGTTAACCTTCCACAACAACATCCGAAAATAAATAAGAAGAATATGACACCTCCGAGCCATCCAAGTAGAGAAATCTTATTGGGATGAGTTTGGATTAATTCTACAACGTCATGCCAACTATCAGGTAAAACCATCTCAAACTCCTTATGTGCCTTCATCCATAACCTGTTTCTATCGACGAGCTTGTTTCTACAACCAGGAGTTAATTGAGCGTTGGAGCTTTCTGCAGCATCCATGAGACACATGATGACTGAAATTGAATAATTTTAATCCAATTGAAATACATTTAACATTAGTTGACGCGCACACTTGGAATTATTTTCAATTAGCTGGCGAGAGAGAGCGGTTGCACACAGATTATTTTCTCAGCGTTTATTCATTTTTTTGAGACTTCTGATTATATAGATTTTCTATTTACCTCGGCTATTTCCAGGAGGAACATCTCTACAGAGTCTTTGGATATCAACACCACAAGCTTCATGTAGGGCAGGATCAAGATTGATATCAACTAATGTTTCTTCGGTTCTTCGAGCGAGCTAAAGATTGATCGATTGAAATTGCACAAAATCGACAAAACCAACCTCTTTATTACAATTTGGATCTCCAATGACTCCCTTGTAGAAATCAGCTTTCAAACATTCAATTACATTATCAAAGTTTCCACCCTACAAACATGTAAACCCTTGCATTCATAGATGTCTAAAATACCGTTTGAATAACTGAAGCGGAGCAATGCTTCTCAATAGTGGGTTTACAGGCATCATACAAAGAAGGATCAAGCTTAGGATCAAGTTCAGCTTCGAGAATAGCTTTGGTTATCTGAAAACATTTCTTGAAAAGCGAAGCAATATAAATATATATTAAAACCTCTTCTTTGCATGGAGCACCTAGATGAATTTGCTCATGAGCTGATCTTCTATACTGCTCTCTCAAGCAACCAACTACTACTCCTTTAAGCATGGTTTGCGCGTACTGAGGTTTATTTATCTTATCTAGATCTTCGGGGCAGCTAAAAATAGGTTGTATACCCAACTCAAAAAAAAACCAACTAGGTCTTGATCTCATCTCGACAGGCATTGAGAAGTCCTGGTCTTAATCTAACATCTCCAGCAGCTTCTTGCATTCTCTCCTTGAAAACAGCCAACAGGTACAAAGAAATAGTCTCATTACATACCTGCACAACTGTTTTACATTCTCGTTGTAACAAGCGGACTATCTTCGTATTGGTCAAGCACTCGAGAACATTTTCCTTATTCTGTCCACCACAGAACTTACCAATATCATATTTACACTTGGTCTGACAAAAACTTCCTTCAAAATATGTGATAGCAGCAAATCACCTGTAATTCGTCATCCATTGTGTTGTCAACAGCTTCAATCTTTTCACGATAAAAGACCATAGATCGACAGTCGTGGCCTAAACCATTGAAATTCTGACGAAGACATTCAACAGTGTCTTCGAAAGAATCCGCTTCATTACATCTGAGAAATAAAATTTAAAACATAAAACTTATTTGCTAACCTGAATTTTTTGAGCTCAACAGCGCATTTTTGAGCCAAAAGAGGATCCGCATCAGCCATATGCTCTTTATCATCGAACTGAAACTGAATTGTTAGGATAAATTGGGATCCATTCCAATTCTTCGACAATACGATGGATTAAGCAGATAGTGAACAGAAAGTAAGTATAGAAGAGGTGCCAGAAGGACAGTGAAAAGGGAACTCAACAAAATTAAGGTGGAATTAGATAGGTTTGAAGTTTAGAAACCCAAAAAAGCGTTGACATCCCACAACACCAACTCACTTCTACCTGTTCTTGTTGAAGATAAGCCACTTTCAGCTGCTTCTTGCAAGGGTCAGAGAGATCAGCGGTCTGTCCAAGAACTTTATGTTTGAATCGAACTTCAGAAAGACAGCGAATAATTTCAGCCCTGCTGATTAAAGGTGTGTTCAGCAACTAAAACTAAACAAATACTTGTCATTTCCATGCCCTTTACAGAAGTTTTCAATGTCAGGTGTGCAAGCTTTTTGGAACTTGTAAGAAAAGTGATAATCACGTAGAGAAACAAGTTCGAAATGATTCACGTACGATTTACATTTGCTCGTCATTTCGGGTGTGTCCTGGAAATGAATAACCATATAGAAGAAGCTGATACTTTAGCCTTTACCTTGTTGGTTAGAAGACACTCCATTACATCTCCTTGATCTATATCTTCATTTTGGAACTCTTGACAGTAAGTGGAAATAACTGGTTTACAAGCTCTCGTTAAAGCGATGTTTAGCTTTGTGTCCTGTGATTCCATTTTAGTGAATTTAACAAGCTCCTGAAAAAAACCTCAGGCTCATTTCAGTTCGAAAGATATTTCAACACCTCATGACATCTCTTATGTTTACTCATGAATTCAGGTTTCTCAAAATTATCCTGGAGGCATTGCATTTCCTGAAAAAGAAACAGATAAAACAATACTTCGGTAGTTAGACCAACCTCCATTGGTTGAACTTGATGGCTACAATACTCTGATAGAGCGTCGCGACAATTATCTTCGACTTCAGGTAGTAAGTTAACGCGAACTGCGCGAGAATGCAATACTCTACGTACTTCTATGCCACACTTATAGGAGAGCTGAAAGAAATTATAAATTTCATTAAAGAAACTAAATGCTACGTACCGGACGCTCTTCGTCATAAGCACTTCTGTAAAGACAAGCAAGAACTTGTGGCCCTGGATCAGGAATATTCCCAGCGTTGTTCGCAACATGCCAATTGTCCAAAGCATGACACCTATCAAAGTTTTTTTTTTTAAATTTCATTTTAAACAATAAGAGCGTACTTGTTGATAGCCTCGTCGTGACAAGCGGAGTATAACTGAGGATCCAGAGTCCAATCACGAGCCATGAAGTATTGAACCTCGAATAATATATCATATCATCGAATCTTGGATAGTTTCTCACCTCTAAAAGACGTTTCTCACAATCAGCAGTCATGTCTGGGTTATCAACATGCTTCATTAAACATTGTAAAGTGGCGGTCTCAGAAACAGCATCAAGAGAACAGACAGTATCTACTAAAGACCGGCAAGAAGCATAAAGAACTCTGTCGACTTTATAGTTGGACCCAATATCAGCAACCTTAAACGAGGTTTTCAGGCTTCGTCCCAATAAGTTGATTTACCTTAACAACTTGAGAAACTGCTTGCATACATTGCACTCCAAGCTTTTCTTCCTCTTTTCTTGATTGCGCATGCTCCATCAAACAGTGAAGTGTTCTACCTTCAGCTTCAATATCTCCTCGGGGACTGCACCATTTGTCGATTTCAGCAGCACACTGCATGACTAATTCAGGAGCCATACGGAACTCATGGAGCATCAATTGTCTATGGTTTATCATCTCATGCTGGCATTCTTTGGATGGTTTGTCCTTATTACTATGAGAGGCATTCTCAAGACAAAGAAGAATCCATGAAAGATGGAAATGAGCCGCAGCCTCCAAGTGGCTCTGAGGCTCGCACTTGAAACTAAAATATAAAGATTATCCTCTACTACTGGAGATAATATATACTTTTTCATTTCAGCTTCACAAGCTTTGGTGAGTGGATGAGCCATACGATAATCCCTTCCATACATGTAAGCTCTCTCCGCAAGAACATTTGAACACTAAAATCATTTTTTTCAACAAACGTTGCTACTAACGAATAACTAACAGCGGGATCCATGAACTGATCGTTACGTTTCAATAAGAGACATTCGTATACTTTTCCTTGACCAGCAGGAACTTCTTTACAATATTTCTAAACCAGAAAGGTAAAATGCATCTTAGATATGCATCAAGCACCTCGCGGTCTGCTCGACATGCGAAGAAAAGGGGACGGTCCAAATGCCAATCTTCACTTTGTAGTTCAGCCAATCTCATAACCTCATGCCGACACTCCGAATCTATTTCATTTAATGCATCAGCTTGTTTCGATTGCTTCACAACTTGCTGGATGATACATTCCAAAGCCATTCCTGATATTAAGATTAAATACAGAAACAGCAAGAAATTCTACCTTGCGTGTGACTAACACGTACGCCTTTATGGGCAGCATTTGGAGTAAGAACGGCACACCCAAACTTGCTGATGGTCGTTCGACATTTATCAATAAATGGACCAATAAGACGGAAGTCAGAGAAAGCCAATTTCTCAGTACGAGCTTAAAAAAATTATATAAGAATGAAACCGATTCATGAATCATACAAAGGAAAGCATAACAGTTAGAAGTCTTAGTAACATTTTGGACGAAATCTATCAAACAACTCAAGGCATGTCCAGATTGAGTCAATTGAACACAATTGTTCATAGCTGAAACGGGAGTTATTATTCCAGAATGGCAATGCTAAACTTCACCAGTATTTTCTTTCAACTCAGCATCACAATAACTCTTGGCTGCAGCTATAAATCGTTCGTCTTGCGTGAGTCTCACCTAAGCATATTTCGATTAAGGAACGGTTTAATTCGATTTTCAACCTTGAAATCCCAGACAAGGTTTTCGCAGTCTTTGGTTAGAGTTTCAGACTCAGAGTACCCAGCATCTTGCAAGCATTCCAAAATTGACATATCAGAGTTGAGATCAACTCCTTCCTACAAACAGGTATGGTAAAGATGTTTCTTGGGCAATCTTACTTTTTTACATAATCTATTAATATCATCTTTGCAAGCATCGAAGCTTAATAAATGCTCTTTGTCATTTGGCTGTTGATTCTGTTGATCTTGTCCTGAAATAATAATGTAAACCTATAATTCTTCAAGATTTTATTATGCGATGCTGGACCCATTCAACTCCCGATACCCTTCACAAGATTTAGAGATACGATAGAACCGGATTCTCGTGTTCGAAAACGGATAGTAGTGATAACGGGAAAGAATAAAACCAAATCATCAGAAAACAAAAAAAATACAACCACGTTACAATATTAATACTTACGAATATCAAAACGACCTATTATTATAATTAATTATTAATTTTGCTTTAATATGAACAAATCACTTACCTTGGACATAAATGATCCACAAGCAGAAAAGGAATGCTATCCTCATAGCTTGCTGACCCACTTGAGGAAACTGCAAGAGTAGTTATATAATAATTTAACGATGCATAGAAAAATTATAATTATAAGAACAAATATAACTATGACTATAGGAATATAGAAAGTATGTGTTAGAGATGATAACATAATGAAAGTTAATTGCGCACAAGGTCTTATAACATGCAGTCGCCAGCTACACGTGTCCATCTTAAATCCTTAATTTTGCAACCTTTCATAATTCAAAAGTAAAAAAAAATATTGTTTGAAAAATATATTTAATATTATCAGGAGATTTATCCATAGAAACATTTCTTATGTGAAAAGACTGAATATAGGCTAAACATATAGGGGATAGATTTAGGTCATCGAAATGAAATGAGAATGAGCGCCCGGGATGCAGGGCCACACTATTGACTGCTTGGCTGGGCGACGGGTTTGTGCCACGTCACTTGAATGGTAAGTAAAAATACAGACATTTAATGAAGAAAATACCTGATATCAAATTATTGTCAACATTTCAAAAAGTTTGATAAAATAGCTAATTCAGCAGCCGTATTTTCTCGTTAACTTTAAGAAAAAACACCGACAAAGGAACGAAGCTCAGAACATTAGTATGATGATAGCATAAACTGTCTTAGACTTGGACGGCTTAGGAATTTCATCTTTTGACACCCATCTATTGTGTTTCCAACGAGTATAAATGTTTAAAGCATTGAAACAACAACATAAATGAAAATTTAATTTTAACGAAAGACTCCTATAACGAGAATGTACTGAACAATGAGACGTTGGCTTGAATAATGAAAAACTAAAAGTAATTAGATGAATTAAATCCATTATAACGTTATCAAAAAGCTAAATTAGGATCAAGAGAAAGATGGGGGTGAGGAGAGTAGGATGCAAAAATCAGCATTCTCGGCTTTTCCGCTCATTTTGAATTAACACACGCAGAGAGCGGTTGCATTAAAAGCAGTTCAATTAGAATGTGTTAAATGATATTAATATAAAAGTTTATTTCATAATATAAAAGGAAGTTCATACTATTAATAACATATTGGATATATTTACAAAAGTCAGCTAGTGATGACCCATTGGTGCATTTTTTTATTGACATACTAATCAAACAACTTTTCGCCAGAAATTGATTAAAAATTCAGCGAATATAGCTATTCATCAACCAGGGCAGAAAAGGAGTAGTGATTTTAGTAGCATCAGCCAACAGTCATTTTCAGGTGCTAGACATCAAGGTTGGCATTAGCAAATTCAAATACATGGGAGAATTTTATCAATCGGATTTGTACGTAACAAAAATATAATTGGGATTGGAGCAATTATTACTACTGTCATTCTATTACAGAAAAAAAATTTCTACAGAACTCTTCATTAATGCTGGTGGTTTAGATAAACAAGTAGCTTGTGACGTATATTTTTCAGTCTAATGTTAGCAATCCTTCTTTACTTATTCACAATCCCGATCCGAAGTGTTGAGACGTTTAGCGATGACTTCAGTCAGTTTCCGGTAATCCGGTGAATCCAGTGCAAAGTTATCAGGTGTTTAGATTTATTGGAATCTCCATACTCAGCATTGCTATCATCATAACATTAGCATACCACTAGACGAATATGGCATTTTGTACAACGAAGGTAATCAACTTTTCTATTCGTTTTCCTCAGTTCTATTTTCTCAGGTCATTCCTTCAGAGGCGATAATGTTGTGATTTTCTATGAGTATTCATTCGGAAGGTTCCCTTACTTCAAGAACTACAATCTATCTGAGGCTGTGAATGGCGGTATGCCTCAGGTTTTGTTAACATTATAGTTTTATAAATCTTGTTGAGTGCAGCTTGTCGATATCGAAGAACATCTATTCAAAGTTGCGGAACATGTAAATGAAAATATCCCACACGAAGACTTCGGTGGGATAGCCGTGATTGATTTCGAAGAATGGAGACCTCTTTTCTCGTTGAATTGGGGCTCGAAGAGAGTAAGCTTCCGTGAACTTCTACAAATTCTGAGAGTGTTTCTAGATATACACCAGGAAGTCTATAGAACTAGTTAAACATCGCTATCCTTTCTTATCAGATAGGGACGCCAGAAGTTTAGCAGAAGAAGAATTTAATTACGCGGCAAAGTTAGCCAGATAACTTTCACGAATGAATTTTACAGAATTCTAATTTAGAAAAATATTCGTGGAGACTATCTCACTTTGTCGAAGAATGAGACCTTTTGCCAAATGGGGGTTCTATGGGTTTCCCTATTGTAACTATAACGCTGGCGAGACCGAAAATCATCAATGTTCAAAGAAATATGAAAATTTCAATAATGAGTATAACTCATAGTTCGAACTATTTTTAGCTTTGATTATGCAGATTGTTCCCGATTTTTACGGCCGGAAACGCATTATTCCCATCTATTTATTTAGATATGAAAAAGAATGAAAATAGAGGATATGTCATGGTTCTCTCTCATTAGCTTGGTATATCAATGATTCTTCATGTTATTGCAGGCAGTGTTAAGAGAGGCGTTGAGAATAAGTGGGAATGCCGCGGAACGGCTTCCAATCTATGCTTATACCAAGTTCGAATACAAACCTTATGAAAACTTTGACTCTTTCTATACAAAGGCAAGACTGTCCTTGGATGTTGAAAAAAAGTTATTTTTATAGGAAGATGTATGCAATACAATAAAACAATCTGCCGATATGGGGGCTGATGGTCTGGTCCTTTGGAGCACCAGTGCTAATATGGTTCAACGTTGCACTTATCTAGCCAACTATATAACTAACGAGTTAGGGCCGTAAGTTCACGTAAAATTAGCATGTTTTCATTACGTAGTTGTTCCATTTCTCATTCTATATGTGTATTGAGCGGTTGCATATTGTTTTTAATTAGTGCACATATAGTATTTCATTCAGGATCGTTGAACTCATACGGAAGAGAATCGAACGTTGTAGAAGTCTGAGATGTTCTAGTAATGGAAAATGTGTCACAGATCAAATGGTCGCTAAGTAAGTCAGATGAGCTGCTCAGATTTTTAACGATATTTCTTGTTCCAGATGTTCTGTTCGTGTGAATCCTCAAATATACTCATGCCAATGTGATCAGCATTATTACGGCGACTCATGTCAGCATCATAGAGGATATAATTTCCTTTATAGAAAGGTATTTCGAATTTTTTGATTAGTTTTAACTTATATTAATATTAAACAATAGGAAGAGGAATCCGAACCATCTGAAACGGTGCTGAATGACGGTCTGTTCTATTACCTGGAGCATGACTCTTTAGGTATCACCGAGGCTCCATTGCAGGTAGATACACCTTATTACACTTGAACATTATATTCTGCCTTCCAATACTCTCCGGCAGATGATTATTTTTTTCGAACGCTAGGGTAATAATTAGGACTAATTTCGCAATCCTTGGGAATTTCCCGTTTCCAACAAATTCTAATAACAACATTTTAATTGAAAACCTTGTCTAAGTTACTAACTATATCATTCGTTCATTTGGTTTACATTTTTTTTACCAATTTTGAAAATTTTTATCTTTACTTGAAAATTCTTAATTCATTTGCTAACTTGTATAATTTTTTTCTTACAAGCCATAATTTAATAAATTGATTTTTTATAATAAAAAATGGAGTATTTTTCTTCATTAATTTCAATTTATTCATCAATACTTAGGACGAAGAAGGCGTACCCACCGGATATGAAGCCACGCCTCGACGAGCGCCTTTGGCAAAATGCCGAAACTCCTTGTGCTTGTGACTAGGCTTAGGCTTAAATTTAAGATCCGCCTTTTCCACTACTGGAAGCCAGTTCGCAGTAGTAGTTCGCCGATAATTGTGGAAGCGGCAGAAGCAGCTTCAGCGAGTCGAGTGCATCCGAGCAAGCCATGTTCATCAGTTTTGGCCAATTTCCAAAAACGTGTTCAATGCCAACAGCTGGCTAAAGTTAACTACTCCAGCTAGTTTTTCTCGTTCGCATATTCTATTTTTCTAGTCTTTTTTTGGCTCTCCTCTTCTTTTCATGTACTCTGAGCAATCAATAGACCTGAAAGAACAATGGTAAAACTGAATTTAAGGAATATTTATGCTTCTCGGCTACACGGAGTGGACAGCGGGACGCTGCTGCCCTCGCAATGCCCAAAGGCTTGTCAATAAATTAAGCCTCGTCTATTGCCCATATTTGCGTTTTTTCATCATTCTAGGGAATGTTAATTCCAAATTAATGAATCCAAATAATATATTTCATCGTGCACATTAAGCGTTTATTTGCAACTTCTATAGCTATTGAATATTCAATGATAAAATGCCTACTAAGTTATGATTTTTTTCAGAAATAACAACATGTAAATATGAGGAGACAGCTTGTAGGCTTTATTTTCTACTTCGTGATATATCACCTCGCCCAATCTTCGGAAGACCATTTGGAAGGCTTTTCCAAATTACTTATTGAACAGTTTGAATTACAATCTCGCGTAGCATTAGTTGATGAGGTTCGTTTTCTTCCTTCTCTCCCAGCAACTGTTTTAATTAAAATGTCAACTGAAGCTTTGCTTTTCAGGAGCTGCAGTCTCTTCGAGAAGAGGTTGAGATAAAAAATGAGGATCCTGTCAGCCTCCTTGACACAGCTAAAAATGGATTGGAGAAAGTATTTAACACAAGGATAGAAGTTCTGCAGGTTCTAGTTGAACATTTTATAAATATTATTGACTTTGTTTCTTCTGTTTACATATATGTAAATGCTAATAGAATATGCTGCTATATGGAGAGAAAGACGAGAAAGAAATGGAGAACTTTCATTTCTTTTTCGTTTTTAAATTGGCATATTCACAGCGTTTTTACTGAAAAGAAAAGCAAAGTTCCACCCGTTTTTTGTCTTAGAAAATGCGTCAATCGGCGGCGTGATTTCATGGCATTTGTTTGAACAAAAATGAGCTGTCACCTCTGCCAAGTCCGCAGAATCTTAGATTTATTTGTAGGCTTTTCCCATTCTTTTTTGAATTTTATAAATAATTGTCGATTTTGAAATCCGGAATCGTTGGTTATTTGAAGATTTGAGGGTTCTTTTCTTCAGAATTACAATAACGGGAGAACTCAAAAATAACATAAAAGCTTCTAAATTTTTGTTCTGCCTCTATAAGCGAGAGCTCTAGTTTGATTATACATACTTTCCCTAGGGAGTCTGGGGCAATCTTCCTCTTCTTCTTTTTCTTTTTCTTCATGCTCCTCAGCTCTCTCCCTCTCCCTTGTGTGGCCGTGGAGTAGAATTCTCATCGATCTCTCATTACGAGAGACGGAGTAAGCAGGATGTGGAAAGAAGCTGATCATGAAGAGACGAGATAAATGACGTAACCATCCCAATGAACGAAAATAAAATAAAAATTTGAGATTGTAACTTAAACCTTGTGAGATCAGAGAATTAATTTGCCTAATATGGGAAATGAAAGATGGTATGATGGTTTTTAATTTTGCTTTCCAGGATCTGGTGAATGCAGCTGAAGCAGCAGCGCAAGAATATATTCATGATACCCCAGAAATGGAAGTACGTACTAATAAATCTGGAGTTTTAGAGAAAGACATCCTGCTTTTCAGTTTCATACTCCATTAGATGAAATCTCGTGTGAAAATGAGATAAGAAGAATGAACGAATCTGACGTTCGTATTCCCGCTAATCGGGGACGGAGTAAGTCAGGGACTCACGTTAATATTGAGAGTTATCAATGCGGTTTGTTTTATCACTGTAAAGTCAATTTCGCACTGCTTATTTTCTCAGATGCTCGTGTTCGACGGGATTTCGCATGGACAGGCAGTAGAGTGGTTGAGGATGTAATGCGAAAAAACAAAGATAAATACCCGGAAATGGGACATCAGTTCATAGGGACTTATAGCGGTCTGACCAGAATGTATCCTTGTGAGTTAAAACATTTTCTGAATCTTGCATATTGATTATATTCAAGGGAGACATTGGGAAACGGAACCATCTCAGATAACTATAGACCTATATGATCCTAAGTTTCGTCCATGGTTTGTGAACGCAGAAACGACACCCAAAGATATCATATTTTTAATAGACTAGTAAGTTTTTGCATATGTTTGATCTGATAAAATGGTTATGATAGTTCCGGAAGTGTCAAAGGTCCAACCATGCATCTCATAAAAATAACTATGATGTACGTTATGTCAACTTTAACTCCGAACGATCATTTTTATGGTGAGTTTTTCTTCAAGTTCGACAACATATCATCAAATGCATTCCCAGGAGTTTACTTCAATTCTCATTTCGGGCCAATTCTAAATTGCCACAATACAACATTCATACCAGCAACTACAGCGAACAAAAGAGTAAGATTGTAAAATTTTATTCCTACACACTTATTTGTTGTATCACTCTGATACATTTCCCACGTCTTACGTGAAGCTAACACTTTTTTCTCTCATTAGTCTTTTTCCTTCAAGGCTCTTCACGTTTTCACATCTATTTCTACTAGATATTTCATTCATTACTTACTTTCAGGTTTTTTTCGAAAGGTTAGGACAATTAGAAGAACGAGATCAAGCTCATCTGGAAGCTCCTTTAAAATTTTCATTAGATGTCTTACGTGATGTAAGTTCTATAATATATTGATTTCTATTCATAGTTTCAGAATTTGGAGACGAATTCTTCTTTATTCATCAATTCACGGTCCGGTGGCCATAAGCTCATTATGCTTTTCACTGATGGAGTTGATGAATGGCCTAGTGAAGCTCTAGAAGAAGAAATCAGCATCCGGGGTGAAGATCCAGTAATACTTCATTATAATAGTTCCTACTTTAAAGTTTAACTCTTTGTTAGGTTCGTATATTTGGATTCTCTATGGGATACGGAACTGGCCAGTTACCATTGTTGAACTACCTGGCTTGTAAAACATTCGCTTCATACTCGGGTTTCGTTGTTTTTTCCACTCAGTTGAATTTTGTTTGATTCTAGTCGTGGACTCTATCATGGATGTCAAGCCTCAATCTCGATCTTTTCTTGATTTTTTGAGCGAAGAGCACTCACGTTATTTGAAAAATATACCTGTAAATGAACGTCAAATCAGCTGGTAACTTTGAACTCGTTTGTGTCATCTTTATTGTGTTTTTAGGACAAATCTTTATATGGAAGCACAAGGTATGGGACCCAGTATCACATTGTCCTTGCCAGTCTTGAATAAGAAACGCAATTTGATCTGGTCGAACCATGGCATGGCTGGAGTTGCAGGTATCAAAGTTCGAACTAGACTTTTCTATAATCTTTACAGGTCTCGATATATCTCTAGCGGAAATAACTAAGTTTTTGCCAACTGGTGAGAAAGTATATGGCTATGTAGTTGACCACAACGGGATCTTATTATACCATCGTAATCTCATACTACCAGTAATAACAATTCATGAATGAGAATGCTTTAATTGTATTTTGAAGAAAACAGAAGTTCATTGCATCCGACGCAGCGCTTGTTACGATGCAAGTCAAGTGAGATCAAAAGCTGGCTCTGGTCTTCGGGTAAGTAGATGAATCACAACTTTCATAACCTATTCGCATTGACAGGTTCAATATGGCTTCAGCGATCAGCGTGTTTATCGTTTAGTAGGATTGATTGATAGTATACCTACTATCGATATGGTTAGTAATGTACAACTCTTTTTGAGTAATGCTCCCATCTATAGTTCGAATTGGAAGGATCATCAGAAGCAATGAAGAAGTTACGGAGTTTGGTTTTGAAACATTCATGTAGCGGAGACAAGATCCTTGACGTACTTTCTTAATTTTTTTTTTTCTATACTGTATTTTAGGGGAATAGAGAGTTCTATTGTGAATCTGTATCAAACACTCCTTTCACGGTTGTTATCGTGAACACATTAGATCAAGATACGCTAACTTTGAGCTCTGCGATTTCGAAATTTTTAGTAGGACAAAGCCCGCTAGTTTCCTACTTTCTGTCAAAAAGGTTTTTCTTTCCGCCGGATGGATTCGGATGTTTGTATTCAGAGATATTTGTAATTGGATGTTGGATCGTATTTCTCCGGAACTGAGATTCTCAGCTCTTCTTGAGCTGGACTGCTTGCAGGATTTGTCATTAACTAAAGGATTGGTTAACTCAGTTCATAAATGGGCTAGCTCTTGGCCATCGAGAGGTACTATAACCAAATTGCGTGTAATTAACTTTTTTTTCAGAAATAACCTCGAATACATCATGTGAAGAGATCAGCCTACCAGTTGGTTTCGATTCACGTTTTTTCATCAACTCTTTTGTCCATTCTCGCGCTCAAATAAGCACATTCTTTCCACGATGGTATACAATCAATATAGTCATTTGATGTTTATATTATTCTAGCTCTGCCTTGACGATGAAAGCAGTTACAGCTAAATTTGATAAAGAACGATATATCAAAGATCCGTCTTCCAATTTGCAAATGACAATTAGGAATAATATCATATTGGCTTACAAGTCTTTAACGGATCAAAATCAAAACAGACTAGCTGTTGTTGGTGTTCAATGGAAGCCTGACTATGTAGACTCTCTCTTCCGCAATTGGACTTCTTCGAAAATGGATTGGTTGGCAAAGTGCAAGCGTGTATGTTTAAAATAAAGTTTGCACCCATTTTTTATCTTATTTTTAGAAGGACTGTTTGATTGTTACTAGGTCAGGGTTTGTTGTGGCATCATCGACACGTAAACGGTTGAACCATCTGGCAGTTTTCGATCCTCAGCTGTTCAGTACTTTGGTGGATCATAACTTAGTCAATGTGTACGTTCTGCATCCCTATCAACAAGCGTTCATCCTACTTATCTCAGAACGATATCATATGATGCTCAAGGAGAATGTCCAGTAAAGAAAGTAGCGCCTTGGAGCAGCTCGTCCAACTCTCATCGTGGAGTTTTTCGAACTTTTCTAGACTTAGTTGTTTTATTCGTGAAAAAAACGTTTTGGTACTGTTTTTTCATGAAACTAAATCAACTTTTACATTACAGGTTCGACGTATTTTTCATGTCCAAAAACTCTCGAGTAGTAGCTCAACCATCCATGAGTGGTGGCATCTGTCGCTTCCAGAGAATTAAACCCATTGAGAGGTGAACCCTTTCAATTTTTCGAGCAAAAACTTCAAATTTTCAGATGTATACTACGAAATGTGCATTACAGTCTATCTCTAAACATATCTAAACAAATGCAATTATCCAACTTGAAATGTTCGAGGTTGGTGGAAGATCACACGCTTCCTCAAAACATTTTTTTCAGATACGCTCGTTTGTTTTCCATTGCTAATACACACTTGACTCTTGTAGAAGTTGATAGATCCTGTCCAGGATTCCGGGGGGCGAAAAGGAACTATCCTGTTGAGCCTGAGAAAAGTTGGTTAAACATCTAGAAGATTCTAACTCCGTTTTTAAGTGGAAAGCTGCGATAAAATTGGGAACTTCGAGGGGCGAAAACCAAAACCCTATAATATTTCCATATCTCAACTTGATTTCACTGCTGAATGTGCTGGTAATAGTGCTTACCCAAACAAATTCACTTTGGCTCTTGGAGCTGCCTTATTCTCAATATTGTTTTAAAAACGGGTCATTTTTAAAAAACAGTATACATAGAGTTTAAACTTATATTTTATTTAAATAAATCTTTAGATGATAAAATTCGTTCTCACTATATGGCAATTGAAAAGTTGGGCAAAACACAATGCAGGCATTAAACATACTTAATTTATACAGAGATGCGATTCACTTGGCTTCCAGAATTTCGAAGTGTTTTCGAGCGTTTTTGATGTTCATGAGTGTTGTCGCAGCAGAGACATTACCTTAAAAATCGTTGTCTATATCACTAATTCGCTCGGTATTACCATCGGACACAATAACCATTATGAAAGTGTTAGGTGTGAAAGAATCTATAAATGCTGCGAACTTGGAATTTCTTACTTGCATGTACTCGAAGTGCGAATGCATTTTGCTAAAATTAGGAATAACTACAGAATTCCCTCTTTACACTTACTTGCAACTGAGTTTGAACTGTTTAATAATGTTGGAAACTTTTTCGAACCTATGAGGGTCTTTATGCTCTGCAATTTCAGCATGTGCTATCACTAAGAGAGTTGTTTTCTCGAAGAGCAAGACCTGAAGAAGAACAGTTCAGACGATGTTATAAAATGTGTGTACTTCATCAGCGTCAACTATTGAAGCAAACTTCCGTAGTCTCTCCTCCATCAGATGAACATTTGGTATAAGCTTGTATACTATTGCAGACCACGCCTAGATTATACTATCATAGCATAACTTTAATAGCTTCATACCTTATACAAAGTCTCATCCCAAATACTACTCCTATAGCATTTTACAGGGACACTTGCACGATCTCGCCCAGCTACCTGCTCGCCACATCTCAAAATCTCCTCTTCTTTCTCAGCAAATGTCTTAATAATCAAAATTTTCTGTCAATTATAATATCGATTGAATTCCACATGCGTATTTTGTATTCACGCAAGACTAGCAAAACTATCAAAACTCATACGATGCAAGTTCACATACGTATAATGATTGTGACATATGGGAAATTAAAAACATACACCATCACGTTTCCCTTCCTCAATTAAATCGAGTTTATGTATCAGACAAAACACCTAAAGAATAAGGAAGATGAGGTCGTTTCGAAAATTGAAAACATGCCTGAGCATTCGGCGAGTTGTTGAATAACGCCTCTAAGCAGGATTGATAATATCTCAAATCTTTATGGAACTCTCGGCTTTCCACATCAAATACATATATCAAGACCTGAGGGAGCATTAGAACATAAGACTCATGGCTCTAACACCTGAACGCCTTTAAAGATCTGATCTTTCTGAGAGATTAAGAAGTTTTCCATGAAAGTTTCCTGCCCTCCACAGTCCCACAAATGAAGAACAAGGTTACCGAGGAACCTGCATTTGTAACGAATATGCGAAAAACTAATCGCAAACAGACTTAACGTGAGCATGCTCCACCTCAAGAGTTGGCCCCAAGCGTGAAGTATCTCTAGCAATATAATTAGCAAAAATAATAGATCTAAACCCGAACAAGTTTATTAACATTCAGCCATAGTAAAACCTCATGCTCGTTTTTCCGGACCCACTTTTGCCCATGAGAAGGACTTTGCGCTTAGCAGCTGGATTAGACATCATCTGCTAGAATGAAACTTATCAGAATATCAGCATTAATAACAGAAGTATAAATTGGAGACAACACCAATGGGAAGGTTAAATATAAGGAACAAACTCTTTCTGTTATTAATCTTTCAAATACATTGTTGCTAAAAAGAAGTAAAAACTTTTGCGATTATCACCCCGTTAATTAATTTACACAACCTCGGTAAGACCGAAATTGAAGTGAACTAATGCAATTGAAAAGGTAACAACTAACATAAATACAACAAATGATAACTTTTTTAAAAGATAATTTAAGAGGAAAGTGAATTATTATTATTGCGGTGCCATCAAATGGTTATGTTTTAAACGATAAGATATAATAAATTTTTAAGATTATAATTTGGAAGGAACCGAACACCCGTTCATCAAGAGAATTTAGGGAATACACATCGGGGATTCACTCTCCATTAGTTTGAAGCGTGGGAATGACTTGGAACATCTCGGGTGGAGATGAGGTATCCTCACTTGGCCAATCATCGTCAGTCTTAAATTAATCTCTCAGGTCAATTCGAATTCTAGGAATATACCGCTAATGAATTTTTTGCTACAGGAGAACTTAGAGTGTTTTTGGAGGAAGAAAAATCAGCCCAGCAATCGTTGGATGACTTGCTATCATTGTTCTCGGTGGAAGGCCAGTCTAATGAAAGAGAGATAAGGAAAGACAAATGATTTCGATATACCCAGAGCTGAACTCAGGAAATCGTCTTGAGGCGGACTTTTCGACAGACTGGTATTATTTGAAGCAGAACGGGCGAACCAATCATCTTCTTCTAGAGCAGAAACAGAATCGATATTGAGTACAGACAAAACAAGTTGAAACGTACCATCCACCTTGCCACAAGGCCAGTCCTCGATACCAACAGATCTCATGGTACACAAATCATCAAACTTAATTTCAGCACTGACGTCTCTAACTTTACATAAATCCTCAAACGCTTGAGACTGACTATTGCTATTTACATTTTCAATATCTGGGAATGTATCGTGCTCAACTATGATTCTGAAGAGAAAACTGCTTGGTGAGATCTTGTAAACAGTACCTCTTGATGTCATGAGACTCGAAAATGTCAGTTTGAATTGAGGGAAGCTTCTTAGAGGACTGCAACTTTTCGAATTCTCGAAGGTTTTCACTTAGAGGATCATCGATGAAATCATGTCTTGATTCTGAACGACGCCTGGATGAAAATTGTAAAGTAAGAAGATAGTCCACCTAAGACATCAGAGCATGATAGATCGGATATACGTCTCTCGTTTTCAGGCTTGTTCCAACTATCAAAGTTTTGAATAACATTATCAAGAATGATCCAATCGTTGTCCTAAACGAAGCACAGATAAGAATACAATGCTTATTAAGCTTGCCTCCGTATACTTTGTCAGAAGTTCACCGACAGGGCTTCTTTTAAGTGATAATTGAAGACTTTGTCCTAAGTAAATATGAAAAGCTCGAAGTGATATGAATTGCATTCGAGGATAAACATGTGGTGGAACTCCACCGTTAATTAATATTTTGAACAAGCCACAATCCTAGAACAAGTTTCATTGAAGAGAAGAGAAATAAAATCACCTCTAAAAAGTAGGAGACCAAAGGAGAAATAGTTTCTCCAGTGTTGGAATATAAAGCGTAAACAACGATCTTGTGGACTAGACGATGCAACAATGTTCGCATCGGATATTTGTATATAAATGAGAAAACCTTTAATGAATTCTTAGAGACCATCAAGAAGAAAGCCACTCACTTTATGAAATTCTGAGCTTTTCATTCCTTCACAGAGCTCTATGTGCGTCTGATGATTGTTAGTATTACACAAGGCCAATAAGAGCCTCATAAGGTACAACCAACAATCGCTCTCCTCTTCATTCTGCGGTCAAGAAAGTTATCAAGAAACATTTCAAAATGAATAAACCTCCAACTCGTTAATCACCCTTTTCATAATCTCACCGGCGTGTTTAGCAAGAATTGTTTCAACAACACGTTTGTTATCGAGCACAGTCTGAAAAACAATACATTCGTGTTAATATGGTTCAGAACACAAACCTCTTTATGATCAGAATCACCGTTAGGACTGTTTGCCATTTCATTTCCATTATCCTCATTTTCAATAATATGACTTGGGCAAAACATGATACAGTTTGTTTCTAACAACCAAAAGAGAATGTCAGAGCAGTTAATTAACAGAGATCTGTTTGGTTCGCCTTTATCCACCTAAACAAAGTTCGCTCAACGTTATATGGCTTAAAACACTCACAGTTAACATTTTTTCAACCAAATCGTTCACGATGCTTGGAGTGAACAAGGAATCATGTAAAATATCATCGTTAGAAGTGCAAGTGTACAGAATATCTCGTAAACTTCTAAACAATAGGCTCACATAACTGTGAATGCCGAAATACCTTATAAGATCAATATACAAATCAGCTGCATTATCATGAACAGCTTTAGGTAGACTTGGATCTAATATATTCACAAGGCGCCTAGCTAGTTGCTCATCAACAAGATACTTCAAAACAAAGAATCCCTAAACATCAAAAACAGTTTACCTGTTTCATAGCGTTTATCTCATCAGTTGATGAGGGAACTTTTGAGATGTTTTGCAGTAATTCTCCAATCGCTCCTAAGTGCATGTTATTAACGCATTTTTCTAAGAAGTTTGTGCTTCTGAACAAATGTAAACACTGAAATATCCAAATAGGTAATGAAAGTAACGATCCCTCACCATATCAAACTTTTTTTGAAGAATATGAACAATGACTTTCATAAAAAAACTGGCTACTAAGTGATTCATAAGCTTCATGGAATCAATATTAGTTTTCAGACATTCAATAGCCGGTGCACACTGCAATATAAGTATCAATACTTAAAGAATTTACTTCGTTAACTTACACTTAGAAATGCATTTATAAGGAAGTCGTTGTTTCTCACAGTTAGAATTTCGCTACACAAATGAGCATATCTGTAATAAAATGGATGTAAGAGCTTATTCATTCTCAGTTGTCTTACTTATATTGCTCGGTATACTCCTGAGTATCAGATAATTCTGGAGATAAAGCATAAGAAACAATTTTCACAAGGTTCTCTGGCTGTGTGATGCTGAAATCGAACAATTAAAAAATGCCCCCAAGTGAACTTACAATAATATGAGCTTCTGATTCCCAGATCGCAATTCTTGTAGAGTGAATGGATCAGATAAAACGGCATCAAACGTCAAATTTTCTTCATTTTTCAATAACGTTTGTAGTGAATTTTCCTCGACGGCAATAGTTTCCCAGAACATTGACTTCTCTAAAAACAGCAGATCATGCGCGTGCGAAATAAAAGAAAGCCGCGCCAGAAATATTTCAATAGAGCAGCACGGTATGAAGCTATATAAAATAACGAATTTTCATTTAAAAAAATTAAGTTAGGATGATTACGTTTGAAAAAAATTATGAAGCCAAAAAAATAAATCACAAATCTTAATAACATGAAGAATTCCATGTAGTTTTAAAACTTGGCCTCCTTCCAATTTGAAAAGATGGTCTCAGCGCGCCAATGCTAACGGTACGTAAATGTTTAAAAATCGCGTTCCGTATGTAGACGTGAGCAGAAACTTTGCTGAACTGACCAACTTCTAAGCTTATTATCCTTATCTCTATAAGGAAAATCAGATAAGGCGGTGCATTACGCATTCTCTGATGAAAGCGCCAAACGAATTCTTTAAAGATTTAGCAAAATTTTTAGGCCAATAACGATCATTCATGCGAAAGTTATTGAGTAAATAGAACTTCTGATACGTAAACTTCTCATTTAATCCTTGAATATTATATTTTTTGTTTTTCATTGTAAAATAAACGAAATAATCCTTGAATTCACATATTTTTATATATTTTATTCAGCTCGAAACTCAATAGTTGGTTTAATCAATATGGGGAAAATAAAGCAAAAAGCGTGAGTTTCATTTTGCGACGTATAAATTAAATGTAAAAATAGAAAGATTAATATAATAAAACGTGCAATATTCCCAAATGTCGCTCATTCAGGTCTCAACATATCGATTTCGAAAGTGATAATGAGGAGTTACAAGATGAAATTCAAAAGTTTCATAATGACAGAACGGCCATTGATCCTTCTGTGTATCGTCGTACCAAGGTATTCGCCATTAATGAAAGTTGTTGGATAATATATGCTTAAAGAAGAAAGAGGTGCGAGAAGTTCTAAATGTAGAAGGCGACACATCCGGGGAGGACTATGATGGCCCCGCTGATGATGATGATTTTGGTGAAGGTATGTGATAACTCGTAACCTATTTTCATAAAGCATTTGCTTCAGAAGTACAAGTGAACAAATGGGGGGAGAAAAGAAGACAATATTACGGAACAGGGTGTGTGAATTATCAACATCTTACTCAACCAATCTCATCTATCTAGCTTTGTTGATGATGATTATGGAGGAATGAGAGAAGAGGAGATAGAAGAAGCAGAATTAGAAGAAGACGATGCTGTTGAACGCCAAAAGTACTTCGATAAAATTGCGGCTTCCGTAGCAGATATTATGGGTGATGACGGCGAAGACGATAACCAGAAGGAAGAGAAAAGCGTAAGATTACGCCCAACTTTCAGTTAATTTTTAAATGAAATCATATTCAGAGAGTCGAGCTGGCGGACTCCTGGACTTTGAAGTCGGCAAAGAAGTGCAACAAAAATTATAAAACTTTATTAACGGAGTATAGTCAAAGAGTATGGTTTGAGATCTAAATTCTTTTCATACTTGTCCAATTTAGGCAGAACTAATGTCAGTCATAGTTCAACCTCTCGCAAAAATTGTTCAAAAACTACCACCAGACTCGGTATTAGCAAAACAAATAACACTTTCAGTAGAAGTATATGCAAAGTAAGTCATTCTTATTTTTCATTTTTTTCATGTTTACATTCAAGTTATATTATGACCATGTTGTTAGTTTTAAAACAAAAGAGTAACTCCTTCGCTCTAAAAAAACTGAATGATGATTCTACTGACTCTCATCCGGCTCTAGGAAAACTGACCAAATTGAAAACTGTAAAGATTTGCCAATAATTCGAACCTTATCTCTGATTTCCAGATGATCTCAGAAGTTGATTCTTTCTTAGAACAAAATTCAGAGGCTCTCCAAAAACTACAAACTGCTAATTCAGCGGAGGATGTTACCAAGTTGCTCACGGACTTGAAAGTTCATGTTCCTGTCAAAAAACAAAAGGTTATTCAGTTTGTGATGTTCGAAATAAATTCAGTTTTCAGAAAGTTCAACTTTCTTCTGTGGAAGGAGAGATTGCCCCAGATGGCGAAGTTGGTGAGGATGGTGAAGAGCTTGATGAGAATGGAGAAAAGAGACCTGCTCTTAAATTTATTGCGAAGAACAGTGATCAAATCAAAAGACGCAAGAAGAAAAATAAAATTGCTAAGGTGGGATTGGTGCTATGCTTCTGTAGCTGAATAGATTTTTGCAGACCGCTAATAGGAGGAGGTTCCACAAGATCACTGGAAAAGTTCGTTCTCAAGTTGGAGTTATCAGGAAAGAGACTTCCAAATATCAAGGAGAAGCTCGTGGTATCAAGAAAGGTCTTGTTCGATCCACAAAACTTGTTGCTTAAAGTTATTGCACAATCATTGTTTTTATATTATTGTTGTCGTTGTTGTTATTTAGTTATTGTTATGCAAGAAGAAAATGTGAACTTTCTTTGGTCGTTCAACTTCTTACGATGCGTTTCTGAGCGCCGGTTGTATTTCATTTGTATTTCGTTTTTCTTTCATATCAGCTTATCTTAAGATTCATATCTTAATGGTGACGTCAAGTCAAAAAAAACTAGGCGAAGGAGTTGTTATACAAGTATGTCTTTATGATTTTTTTATTATTTAACCGCGCAGTCTTCTTGTCTGAAACTGAGTCTATGAAATTCTTGAACAAACTGTCCAAACCTTTACTATCAATAAACAAACATAGACTCTTTTTTATATCAAATTCTTCCAGGTTGACAAAAAATGTGCCACCATAAGAGAAAAAAGAGGGACAGTATTAGTAAATGCCGAAGCACTAAGTGTGAACTATCCAAGAAAAGAAATGAGAGAAGTTTTTAAGGTAAGCTGGCCAAATAGTTGCCCCTGTTACGTGTTTCGCTTCCAGAATGATGATGAAGTTGTCTTCACATTTAAACAAGAACAAGATCTTGTGGCAACATCAATAGTTAAGAAATCTGATTTAAAATATGTTGATGGAAAAATATCTGAAGCTTGTTCAAAGTTTGTACTGATTCTTCTCAGTTTCTAACTTGATCTTTGCAGATTTTGTTATGTTGATTGTTCTCAGAAGAAAATAGGAAAAATATTCGTACCCTATTCCGCTCGTAGTCTATCTTTAAATAGAACCTTCATGGGAAAAGGTGTGGAGAAAGGAAAAGAAGTTCAATTGAAGGTTCTTTTTGTTTTTTCTGCTACAATTGAATTTTCTCTGCTTGCTAGATCTTCCGCCAATCCCAGCCTAAAAATCAATGCATTTACATAGCTTGGGGAATTAATATTGCCGGAGAAGAGCGACCGGAAGAACAAATTGAATCACAGGTATTCTTTAATTTCCAATATTAATAATTCTTTCCGTTTTAGTATGGAGCGATTGTTCATTTAGCTAGAGGAGACGATATAATACTTTATTCTGCTGTAAGAGTCTCATTCTCATAAGCATTAATCATTATCTTTTCAGAAAAGCGGATGCTCTAAATTATCATATTCTGAATATAAGCCTTGGATGGATCTTGGAAAGTTCGTCAAGTATTCAATAGAAAAGTTGCCTCAGCCTATCGAATGTGTGCCTAAAGTCCAGTACACAGCTAGTAACTGCGAAGATCGTACTAAAGTAATATTAACTACATCTTTTTTTCTCATCTGTTTGTTTTCAGTATTTGAAATATAGTATAGAAAAAAATCTTACTGATGAAACTATGTTGCATTTATTAAATGTTCCCGCAATTGTTAATAGGGTTTCCGCTGCTGGAGCTGCATGGTTTTGGAATGATAACATAGGTTTGTCCCCCCTCCCTCTCCTTCCATTTAGCTATTTTTTTCAGGTCGTGTATATTACAATGGAGGACCCTATTCTTTGAACTTGAAGCCGATGGATGTCGTCTCGTTAGATATATTTTTCGCTAAAAACTATGAAGAAGTTCCATGGCATGCTTCATATATTGGAGTGAGCAATATTCATAAAATCCTCTTATTGAATCTACTTTATAGTCCGTTCCTGAGGAACAAAGGGAAGAAATTCAAAATAGTATTGCTAGATATCTTCATACCGATGACGATTGGACCGTAAGATCAACCTCTCTCGCACATCATTATTTTTGGTTTATCACAGGTCACTTTTGTCAGAGAACAAGGAACCACGTCAGAATATTTATTTTTGAATAACCCAATTATTGGAGCAGCCTTTGCCGGATGGACGGATTTCGCGGAAGTTACCAATCGACCACCTCTCAGAGAAGGTGACAAATGCCGGTATGATAAATTCAAACATAGTTTTACTTATCTCTACTTTAGAGTGACTTATTATTCTCATTTCCGAGATAAAAAAAATTCAAACCGAGCAGTTTTAGTAACACCGTTAGATCAACTAACTTTATCTCAAGACTTACATCCACTGTTAAATGTATCTATAGAAGGAAGTGAAGTTAGAAATATTGTTCAGTATCGCCCTAATAACAATTCATCTTGCAGCTGGAATCGAATGAATCTGAAGACTCAAACACAATTGATCAAATGACTCGTTTATGTTCTGAGATCTTACCAGCAAGAGAAAGTAGAATAACTGAACTGTCTTTTTACCCATCAGAATATATGGTAATCGTTAGGCTGATGAAAAACAACACACTTTTAGTTTCAGATTAATCCATTTCGTAATCCTAGTGATACTAGTCATTTAATAAGTAAAGCCCCATCAAGCTCTAATCCATCCTCTCAAGCCTCATCGACGACGTTATTGTAGGTTCAATAATTAGACCAACTCATAGTTATTTTTTAAGTAATACGGGTTTTACTCTCGACCAAACCTATGGAACAATGACTGACCTTTGGGGGCCCCCGCTAGGAAAAGCTGTAGATACCAAAGCGACACAGACAGACGATTTTATAGAACAAACTATTCTACATGAAATTCTTACTAACTGTCAAATCGATCTTGACAGGTAAGACTTTGAGGAAGAAACAAATGATTTTTTGATGGTTTTGCAGGAACCCAACGTTGTTTAAAAAGATTATTTCTTTTTACCAAGTGTGTGGAAAGAAATTGAAATAGATATGACCCTTGAATCATCAGAAGATACTTCTATGTAGGTTCAACACAGCTTGTAAAATTCGAATACAATAACCTATGGTTTTAATAATTTGCTGAAAGTTTTAGGAGTTTCGTAGAGATGTTACTTAACGTTTTAGACTGTTTTAAAGCAATTCAGATTTGCCTTGAAGTTCGTTTGAAATGTTGTTTTTATTGTTACGTTTGTAACGAATTTTATACGAGAATTTATTAATAAGATAATAAAAAAACATTTGGTTTAAACAGACGTATCATACTTCTGTTGTTTGTGAACTCATACATCTGAAGGGGCGTTCACTCCAGTACCTATTTAAGGCATATTTTTTTCTTTTTCACTGAGCTCTGATTAATACTCGTCCATCCATCGACTTCAATTGTGCTATGATTCCATATTTTCGGATTTTCTGTTTCTTTTGTATCTGGACATATGTCGATGCGCAGGAAAAGAGGAAAGCTTTTGCTGAAAAGTTAATTAACGAAACTCTCACAAAGCAATTCAAACCTCCCGAAATTACTCCTGTATGTTTTTAAGCTAATGTGGTTCAAAACTTCGTTTTAAGATAACCGATGCTGTTCTGGATGAAATAATCAAAAAAACTCCATATAAAGATGTTGGTAATACGAAAAACTGTTGGAAAAGTTTGAAAACCGTGAATTTTCAGACTTTAAAACCATCGTACTTGAAAAAGGGCCACCAGGAAAGGCTCTTCTCATCGCCAATATAAAAAACGATGGTGAGCTTTCACGCAACAGAAAATATATTTGTTTTTAGTGGATAAGTGTCTCAAAGACAAAGGTCTTTCTATAAAAGCTGAAGATGTCATCAAAATAGCTACTCCCCCTATCGAGAAAACTGCAAAACCTCTATATGTAAAAGTAATACTAAGCTCTCTATGAATTGCCATAATATACGTTTTAGTACGTCGACCTAGCAGCTAAGAATAAAAAAAATTCTGCCGTCAGAAGCGTTCTCTACGAACAAGGTTTGAAAGATCTCACTCAAGATCTGGTAAAAACCATAATTTCGAATGTCGCAAAAGAAAAGGTATTCGTTTAAACATGTCAAAAACTTCACAAACTGTTTACAGGATATGAAATGTCCGATACTGCAATGCGTTGTGGAATATGTTAGTGTAGCAATTAAGTTCGGAAAAAATGTTCAAAAGGCCAATTGCAAACTTCCTAAAACTTGAAAAATTCCTCAATATATCATGTGTCGAAGAATAAATTTCATATAAACAAGCAATACTGTAACTACAAAGTAACCGAAATATGTGATAGTCAGCAAGAAATTATGTTCAAATTATGTACTTGACGAAAAGAATAAAACTAGTATGTCGGTATCATTGGTTTCAACTATTGTTGGTAACGTGTATGAATCAGGCTCGTCGTCTCTTTTTCGTTCGTTCCATCTGGCAACTATGGTTGTAGAATCTGCAAAGTTTCAGGAGGAAGAGAACGTGTTTAGAGCTTCAATGCCCAAGAACCATATTCTATTTGATTTGTGTTTCTGTGCAAAATGAGGATTATACTAATTAAATACGAAAAAAAAATCTCTAGGATTATTAAAAGATTCGAATGATAGAAAAGTTCAACAATCTAAATCGTGGTCTCCGATGGATTCATTGAGCGGATTTCTATCAAGTTTCCATCGGCAAAACAACAAAACAATGTTTTTACAACCATGAATAATAATTAGTCTCGAATTGTTGACACTTTAACGTCAAAGATGAGCAAATAAGCTATGCCAAAATGATACAACACTGTCAATCTTGATGAACCCTGGTTTTTAAAAAGAACCATTTTTAATACTGTTTTTTGGTAAACTAAAAAAATGTATAAAAGAGAACAGGTGCTTGCCTATATACAATTACAAATTATTGCTAATAATCTAATTTTTCAGATGCTGAACTTTGTGTTTTATTTTTCTGCAGTTATGAGTATAGCTGGTGCTCAACAGGCAAGGAAGGATATTTGTGACGCAGTCAATAGTTTAATTATCAAAGACTCTGTTCTAAAGGCCGTTGAAATGTTCGAAGTGAGTTATTTATGAGATCACTCAAAGAAAAAGGGAGTACTTTCAGTTTGCAGATAGCGTCGTTACCGAAGTTGTCAAAAATAAGAAGTTGGCTGACATTCGTAAGCCGCAAAAGTAAAAAAAAAAATTCTTGAAATTCCAGCTTTCAAAAACCTTGCTGCGGAAAAAATACCCAAAAAAAAATTATTACCCTTTACCAACGCCAAAAATGACAGTAAGGTGTAACTTGCAACCTAGTGTGCATTCACGATTTGCAGTGGACAACTGCTTGAAAAGGAAGAATAGACAAGAAAAATCAGACGAAGTATTTGATGATTTCGGTGGCATTGTGTTAAAAATAAGCCAAGATCCTTACAAAAGAGTTTGTTTGATTTCCTTATTCAATTTACCAAAGAGCACAGATCACTAAAAAAAGAGACGACGCACGTAAAAAGAAAAAAACTGACGATGAGCTCCGACCGATTATATATACGGCTTCGAAACCTGAATTCACGAATAACACCATACAAAACGTATTTAATAGTGCTATGAAGGTTAAAGAAACTTTTGTCTAGAGTAATAATGAGCTTTTCTTTTAGAAGTTCCCTTGTCCTGTTTGGCAGTGCTTCGTGGAAAGCTCCAAAAATGTGGCTCTTCTAAACCAGTACAAAGTTTCGACCGAGAACTGTAAAACTTGAAACTTGAAAATAGAATTCAAGCTCATCAATAATATAATTCGAAATAAGTCGAATAAATAAACGTTTCTTCCTGCAAATTGTTCACTATAACTTCTACAAACGAATTGCTGCACTGCGAAAGTTAAAATAGTCGAAAACGCGCGAGAAATCATCAATATTATCATCTAATCCTCATTTTGCACAGAAACACAAATCAGAAGCAGACAGTCTTTTTGTGTTATTCTCATTAAACACCAGAGAAAGTACAAATATATTTAATATTCAATAGTGTATATCCATATAATGGATGATTTATAAATGGATATTTACAATCCTATAAGTTCTGTGGACGATCAACGGATAAAGTCATCAAATCTAAATATCTATGCTTATTAAATAAGATTGTAAATGAAACCTTTGTTGACATTGTTCTTTGCGTACGCAACTATCAGATGTCGTCTGTCAGACGTTGATCTTCTCCGTAATAAACAAGATTTAACTGGTCTGTATAAATATTTTTTGAATTAATCTCTAGAGTTTCACCTGTCCATAATACATATATTTGCCATCGAACCAATACTATTTTGGATTTCGTCTGTTTGTTCCAAACGCTTTAACCATTCTTCTCCAGAATGAGGCATTGCTATCTGAATGTGCATAGGTTCATTGCTAGTGTAATTTGAAGTCAACTTTTTCGCTTGGATCTGATGTCGAGTTCCGCAGTACTGTCTCGCAACCACTCGACCGGCGAACTAGTACTGCGCGTTCTCCTGAAATTCAAGGAATTATCTTATAGCTTATCCATGATTCAAACCTAAAAAAGAACGGTTTATAACATAAGGAGAGTTGACAGTTTCAAAAGTAACTTTCTTCAGCTGTGGCACTTTGTCGTTGGCGTATTTACTCAAATAGCTTGGCTGGAAGATAAATCATTTTACGTGTTAAAACTCATCAACTCAACTCCATTGTGATTGTTCGATGGAGACATTAAATGTTTATTGTCGCTCTCTTTTGCGGATGATATTGAAGATGCTTAAAAGGAATTTGATTAGAACTGTTCAGGTGTATGCACTACCTGGACTATCTTTACGCTGTAAGCTACGTTGACTTTCTTTGCTACTCCTTCTACTTCCGCTAGTTGTACTCTCCGTTGGACTTATGCGTCGTTTAACGATCAGAGGTCTTCCCCCCTTACCTCTACGCGTACTTCTCAGATTGTTTGGATTTTCATGCAAGTGAACGTTAGCTTGCGTTGCTCGACTCATTTGAAGCCTTTTGTTGTGTTCTTTATCTGCGCTTTTAGACCTTTTCTCATCTTTTCTACGTTTTTTGTCTGTTTTAGATTCAAACGTTGTGATTGAATCGTTCTGAAGTTCGTTCAAGCGAGGTGAGATAGATCTCATGGACTGCGGCACATTGCGAGACGCTTTAGGTGCTGAGGTCAACAAGCAACTAGGCTTATCCGTTGGTGTCTGAAATGTTTCCATTCTCAAGGGAAAAATGTCAGACGAAATGGGACGGGAAAGACGACACATTTATGATTTGAGTAACTAAAGACGATTTTATCTGTGAAACGAAGCCTCCTCATCATAAAAATAAAATAAATTGTTTCAAACTTACTAAATCATTTTTGAGCGTGATAATCATTTCAGGGGTCCATATTTGGTTCATACACAATCTCTCATCCTTGCGGTTTTGCTTCTAAAATTTTGGAAAAATATAGTTCGATCATATTGTAAAAGATGTTTGTTACATATTTCTCCCATTGTTTGTACAAGAGTGTTTTGGAATGTTAAGCAGAAGCAGAAAAACTATTGGATTTGAAAAATAAAATTCTTTTTCTCTCATTACGGACTGTTCGTGAAGTGCAGACAGTAAGGAACAATTTCGAATGTTTTGATCTCTGTTTCGCTAGTGCTCATAATCCAGTAACAATAAATAGCTCTCATGGAATACGGCGCACACATAAGTAAGGGTTTCAATTGTATCAATTAATCAGGTTTTTACCTGTATCTCAAGGTAAACTTGAGTTTCGACCATTCTTTGAATATTGTGTTGAAAATTTTTGGAAAGCCTTTACGGGGTAAACCGTTCGGGCAATCAGGTTTAGAGGAATGGTTATAGATTCATATTGGCATTCGTTTCGTTTGAAAGCAAGAAGCTAGCAGTTGCACTATTTATCATTGTCTTTACGATTAATGAGACATAATTGTTATTAAGTACATACTTCGCTTTTTTTATGTTCAGCAAATTCATCTGTAACTACAGGCTCCTCGTTCACGTTTTTAGCTTCACTACTCTGATCTCGATTAGAGTTTTGATCAGTTCTAAATTCAAATATGGCTGTTAGTAATTAACTAATATTATTACTTTTTGTAGTCAGAGTATGAGCTTTCTGACTTTTTCATTGCACGATTTTCACGGTTACGAGATCGACGTCTTACAGATGGTCCAGGTTCATCCGAGTCATCATTCTCCTCTCTAGCTAGCTCTTTCGATACAACTCGTGGTCTAAAAAGAAACGAATGATTGCAGCTATCAGTTCAAACCTGGGAAGAAGCCTATAGTCCAGGAGAGGAGATTCCACACTTGCGATAGAATGTCGACGTCTACGTACTCTGGGTTGTTTTTCTTCTTTCCGAGAAGCAACATTAAGAAGAGCGAAGTAGAATGCCATTTTGCCGACTATCAGACTGAAAAGTGGTTATGTGAGCAAATGCATTAATCAGTGAGTAAGAACAGCGTATAAAAATGAATCAAATGAGAAGGCAAGTGGGTGTGTTAAGAAAGAAATCTGAAATTTTCAGATATTCTTCTTTCGAAAAGTTGGGATTGTGCAGAGGCTGTTTTCATGAAAGATGGAAATTGAGGCTTTGTGGTGGAAAGAATGACACACCAGTACTCCTAAGGGAATGGTGGAGTAGACCTAGAGAGTTCAGAGAAATAGAGAAAATATGAAAGCTGGCATACAGATGATAAAACGTGTACATCTTGGAGAAAATGAATGGTGAGGGTGAACTTTCCGCAGAAATAGTATTCAATCGGTAAGGCTCACCTTTTACAGATTTTTAGTTTCTACTAGCACGTATAGAAAGTATACAGAAAATCAATTCCATGATGTTGTGGTTATACATGACCAATACGGACAAACCTGGAGTAGCCGAAAAGTCAGTACTCGGACTTTAATGAAAAAACTTGTTTCAAATGTTGTATTATCCGAAGACTCTTTAAGCGTTGTTCAAGTTGATGTTTCTGAGTAAGGATTGAGATATATGGCTGGTTGAAGTAACTGAAAGAAACGATATGCCCTTAGGGATAAGTTTACGAGGAAATTATATCTTAAAATTTATTGAGATAGCTCAAAGATTAAAATCTTGGAACAGCTTATTTTTGTGAAGGTTGTGTTGTTTAGAAACTTCATAAAAACAGAAGCTCTGTCTGTTAGTTGTGTCATCAGGTCGAATTCTTTGATGGAAGATTGCGAAGATTCTGTTTTTTGTTCCCAAGTAGCTAAGAATCAAAAATATTATGAAGTTCTCGTAACATTTTGAACTCCATGTTTTAATATTTGTTCCCTAAGACTTTCTTCTGTGCTCCTTGCTCCGTCTGTGTCAATTTTTCTTATGCAACAATAAGACAATATCTGACAGACAGTCTGATCGGCAGCAAATTTAAAAATTTACGAATACTGGCTCTCATCGATGAATAAAAAAAATTTCTGTTTCACTTTTGCTCTGATCATGACAAATGGTCCAAAAATATATATGCTGCTGGACAAATAGATGGAAGTGCGATAGTCGAACCGGCAGAAGAAACCGGACCGGTTCCGTACGTCTGGGGCCAATAGAATTTACTACGGTTTTGAGTTCAATTCGGCCTTTAATCATGTTTTACTGAGCTCCTTTAAAGGAATTAGTGTATTCAAGTTTTTTTCCTGAAAAATAGGAAATGTCGAAGCTTAATGATGAAAGCAATCCCTACTGGTTCCAATAACTTAATGAGCTTTGGACTCATGCCGAACAATTTTTAAATGATATTCGAGGTTGCCTAAAAGTACTTAGTTCCTATCAATGAAACATGTGTTGCAAAACTATAATAGTCGTGTTATGAGAATCTCCAAGAAAACATCCTATTAATCTTGAGAATCCACTTCCTATCATCCGGAAAGACAACATTTGAGAAGGTTCGCTTTTTGAACCACTCCAATTTACAAGAGATTGCAGCTGGGCACTGAGAGAGAACACAACAGATAACTAGAAAACACGGTTTCCGTTTATCTTCTCGACTTTTTCAATGTCTTTTCGAGATTTTTTTCCAAATGCCACAAATATAACAAGCTGTGGTCATTTCGCTTAAAGTCCCTAGTCGAACTATAAGCTAACACTAATACAACTAATTGATGGATGGAAAGGACATAAAAGGCATTTAAGAAGATTTTCGATTGTTTTTGAGTTAGTCATGACTCTCAAAACAAAAGAAGAAGTTGACTGACCACGAGCATCTCAGGTTTCCTCCCATTTTTAATTTGGTTTCATAAAAGAAAGCCGCGAAAAAGAACATAGACTACTCAAGATCTGTACGCAAGCACACGAAAGAGGCTTTTCGAAATGAAACTTCTTTCTTTCCAATCTTCTAATCAAAGTCTAACTTCTGTGCTCCTAAAGCATCAGACAACTGTCCTTTTCAATAAAACTTTTCTTGTCAAAGCAACTTTTAATTGGTTATTGGAAAAGTCCTCGGCCTAGCCAAATAAGAAGAGGAAAGATCTAGTGAGTATACCCTATGACAGTTTATCTTTCTCCTCTTTTTTTCTGTCTTGTTCAGAGACACTATAACTGCTTTTTCATCTTGAATTATTCTCATTTTCGTTCTCTTCAATTTCTTTATGTAGCATTCCATATATAGTTGATTGTTTGTTCACTGCACTTTTTATATCTCATTGCACTCTGTTGCTCTAATAATGTATAGATATAGTAACTCATTATATTTTATCCATAACTTTCTACTTCTTTCAACACTCGGATCTTCTTATAACAGCGATTCTTGCTCTCCGACATTGAGCATCTTCAGAAGCTTTTCCTACAAAAAAATACAAAAAAAAGCTCTGAAATGATAGCGCTCAAAAGGTTGGATAATTTGATTTACCACTTTTTTTGGGTAAACAATTCCTTTGCTCGAATCTGTTAGCTCGACTCTTCATATAACCAAAAAAATTCTAATGAGCAACTTCTTGTTAACGAGATATAAAGTATTCTAAAGATTCTAAACGCTAAACCGATTTGTCGAGTATCAAAGATACAAGACATTCACAGCTGAAATTGTTTTATGTATGGTGTGAGCTTGTTTTCCGGCCACTCCTCTTCGTCTTTCAACCATATTTTCACAATTCCAATAATTCACACATCCCTTTCTCTCTCTCTCTCTCTCTCTCTCTCTCTCTCTCTCTCTCCTGTCTTAATCTTCATGAGTTTTTCTTTTCTTGATTGACAGCCTGACTAGCTATTCTCGCTACAGAGTGCCGGGGGCAAATACTATATGTCACCTGGTTGAAAAAAGGAAATATTGTAGAATGGACGGAGCGTTCAAATGTCCATTATCGTGCTCAACCGGTCCAGCCACTGATCAGCTACCTGTCTTTTGTTCTTTTGCTCGCATCTTTTCCTCCCTCCTCAACGGATACAGTCTAAACATAATTTTGTATCTTTTGCCTTCCTCTCTCTCTGCTAACATATTTCTAAAAGATGTCTATCATCTTTCCATTCGCTGGTCGCCCGCTTGACCATTTGCTCTATCTCTGGTTTCTTCACATCTCGCTCGTTTTCCATCCATCTCACATAAACCGATACAGATTCCGCAGGAGGGTGTTGGGCGTTCGTTCAAACGGCGAAGAGCGTTGTGCTCGTCGTGACGGTCTCTCCTATTCTGCTTAAGTGGATTCTCCTCACCTAGTAGATTGAGCTTATACTGCTCTCTTCTCGTTGTTTTCAAATCTATCGTTTGCTCCAAGTTACAACTTGCCTTCAATGACATTTCAACACCTTTTCTCCTTTTGTACTCTTATATACCTTTCAATCTAACACCTCTTATAGTTGAAATATTTTTTTAAAAATATTCTATAAGTATTCGGCTCACGTGCTTCCATATGCTTATTACTCGTACGCTGTTTTTTATTTCGAAGTTGGTTCCCAAGTTTTAACTGAAAGTGAATTAATGAAACACATCTTCTAATGCTCCTCTCAACTCTTCAACTTCGTCGGCTTTTGCAACTCCTCTTGATCTTCATTTTCATTCTTCGAATTCCACAGAATGTTCTTTGATTTCATTATGTGAGTACAACATATTTTATATCGTCTGAAATCGTACATTTACTTAAGTTTGCTTCCCTTTTTATTAAAACCTTGCAATTGAATATGAGCATTCCCTTTGTACCAGATCATCTCACGAGAGCTCCCTCCTTTTGAATTGCGAAGTTTCCTTATACTTCAGTTTCATGAATACTTATGAAAGCTTTGTATTTTTTCTTTTCTTATACATGAGTCTCCCATTATTTTCGTAACATATTTGAACGTCGGATTGATCCGAACAATTCTTCAGAGCAAAACAATACATTCCTTTTTTGTGCACAAACTGAAGTTAATCGCATTACGCGATGTTTCCTAATTATTAGGAGCAACACAAACTTACAAAAAGCGTAAGCATCTTTATTCTCTCCTTTCGTATGGGAAATTTAGTACACATTTCGAAAATACACAGCTCAACCCTTTTAGTTCTAAACATTCTCTCTTCACTGTTTTGTTGTTGTGTTGATACATAAGCCATTCCAGGAAGTACACAATCTCTTTTCCAGATATAACTCAAAGCAAGATCTCTCATCTCTTCATTCTACTTTGTTATAACCGATGAATACTCGTTTATAGAACAACGGTGAATGAATGAAGCACGTTTTTCTTTTTCTTCTATTAATTAATATACAGGTTTGATTACTTTTAAATTTACACATCTAACCTTGTAACCTTAAGACGCGCCTCTTTTGCTCTGCATCGTCGATACTAGTGGATTGGTCCCCTTATGTTGTACCGAACGCTCAGGCCTACGTCTTGGACTACGTGCCACCCGTCGGATTCCCTCCTGCTGGTACTTCTTTAGCTTCGTAAGTATTTTTTCATCTGGCCTGTTATACTTTCCTTATTAAGTAATGCTCGTCGAGCTTTATTAAATGGCACAATATCTGCCACAGAGTACACTATATATCTTTCTGCCATAACTTTGGATGGTTCACGCACGAACGTTACGGAACTTACCTTCTACAGTAGTAAGTTTTTTTTTTCAAGAATACATCCAGCAATAAAGCAGAAATATGTAAATATTGCTAACGTTGTCCACTTCAAACATATTAGTCTTATCATCTTCAAGCTTCTATACAAACTCACTGATGATTCCTTAACTAAGCAAACTACACAACAAATCGCAAATTATTGCCTTTTTTCACAAAATGAAATTTTCGAAATAACTTCGTGTAGACCAGACAGTTAGATGTTTATACAGAAGCTTAGCATATTGCTTTCAAATAAATTTCTCTGAAGTCGTTCCCGATTGTCTACCTCCGAATTTGCATAAAGCAAGAGCACGACACCTTGTCTGCAAAAATAAAACAATAATATTATGACTTGAGAGAGTAACAAGCATGATCTACGACCAATAACACTAACCCAATATGTTCTCTGAGAACTGATTTTTCAATTCAGGTCCGGATCCACCAATACTAGACACCATTGAAACTACTGATCACGAAGCTACAATATCATACTTCCCACCTCAAGGAAATAATCTCAGTTATTATATCGGTAAAGCAGATTAGAAGCTTCGATGATCATAAACTTCTAATTCAGAGTACTACCCGGAAGGTCACCAAGAATATTCAAACGTTTTGGAGACAAAAGCTTCCGTTTTTCGACTTCGCGGGTTAGACAGTGGAACACAATTCCGAATTAAGGTAAAAGCATCGATTAGGCAGAAAACATTGACAATCTGACAAACATTGTCACACTTACTATGAAGTGTTATGATGACTTTGATCGTCAATTAACAGTCAAAGACTTGTACGTAACAGATATTTTTGCGAATATTTCTCATTTCACCTACTGCGTTTCTAACGAGCTGTTGATTTTTTTGAAAGCTTTGTTGTTCATCCTCTCAACTCACAACTTTCAGATTAAATCTATTTTCCGAAATGTTCGATCTGAGAAAAGTATTGAAGCTTCTTTTAAAACGCAAGGAGAACGTAAGTCTTTCCTTTGATTTGAGATTGTTTATGACTAATTACTAAAAATTAATGGAATTCAAATTATAATTTCGGAATTGTCTCCATGAATCTAGTGTTTCGGTATCTTTTCGTAGGACGCAATATGTCTTCGGATTACTCGATTACTATATTGATAGGTTCTTGAAAAATGAAGGACAGAGAACTTGTGTTGAATAGTTCAAACTTTGAGCGTTTGATGAAGAATTCGTGAATTTCATCATATTCAGTCCGAACAGTTGCCTCTTCTGTCTCGTAAACTGTGACCGTAAGTAGGATGACATAAAGACGACAGTTTTGTTGTTTAGTTTGTCTATGGTGAAATTTGAGATTCTAAAGTAGAATATAGAGAAAAGCGCCTTATTTGAACTTCTAAAAAACCTAAATTTCCAGCAAACTATGACTACTCAAGCTCCGGATCTGGAGAAGCTTTCAGTGTTCGAACACTTCCTCCTGATTTTGATCTAGCTACCACTGCACCACCAACAGATTATGAGGATTACTCAAAAGAGTATCCGAATACCGAAGGTATTTGCACAGTTTTTTGTCAATAGCTTTGTACTAACATGGATCAATAAGTGTCATTTCTTTTGGTTTTAGACAATTCAGCGGAAGTGCAAACAGTAGCAGTTGTGACATCCACATCACAAATAATGAGTACATCAAGTAAGGAAGGGATTTCCTATTCAATTTTGGATAACACTAGAATAAAATAATAATTTTAGCACCATTGATCTTAGTAGTTGATTCGAAGTATCCAACAACTTCAACCACATTAACTACTACCTCAACCACAAGTACGACAACTACGACAACTACAACAACCACAGAGAGTCCAAAAACAACAACCACATTGACAACTCGTAAATCAACAGCAATTCCATTGAATACTTCGCCGAAAATTGATCAAACGTAACAATGAGTTATGGATATTTTTAAGAGTTCTTTTGCGACATTACAGAAAATTTTCGAATAGTTTCTCGACTGGTGAGACTACTTTCTCTGAGTTCCCCAAAAGTTCGGATGTTTTCACGGAGAAAGTAACAAAGAAACCTATCGCGGAAGAAATAGATACAGGAGACTATGACAATGGAGAAGTAATTTTTCTTATTTTAACTCAATTCTCTTATCATTCTAATTCAGAATTCTTTATTGATACCAGTCGAAGAAATGGTGAAGGAATATGGAGATCCTACGTATATCGAAATGTCACAAGACGACGCAATGATAAGGTTTGCTCTTCCACACTGTTTCGCTAATCGCCCGAGTTCAGACTTGACTGGGATGTCCCCGAGGGTACATTATGTGATGCGTATTTTCTAAATTATACTATACTAACATTGTCTCGTCCCAAATCGTTTTCAATGGCCACAACAGAGGAGTTCACGTTTTTAAAGGTTGAAATTTATCAAGAAAAACTTTGAATTTCTTTCTCCTAGATGTTTCCTGAGCATACTCTTGACCTACGTGTATTCTGCATGCTAGCAGGTTCTTTGTCAAAGACATGGTGGGCTCATAAGATTGCCTATCTAGCTAGTAGGGAACAGCTCAAACTTTGCTGACAACAAACATTTTTCAGAACCAAAACCTATCGAAGGTTTAAATGTTGATTCTACCTACACTGACGACTTTTATGTATCTTCCGTTACATTAGATTGGAAGTGGCAGAAACATGATTTCAATATATATAAAATAATTGTTACTTATAGAGTCGGGAAGGTAAAACAGTAGCTATGAATAATTGTATACGTTTATACTCAGGCTGAAGAAAAAGAAGTGGAAGTTACCGAGCAAGGACCTGTTATTGTGGAGAAGTTAGAACCAGCTAAGATGTATATATTCACTGTGCGCAACTCGTCGATTGAACTTCCTCTAGTTTCTAAGCCTGTTGAAATAAGTCAAATCACTCGTATGTGATCTAAAGTTTTTTCATTGTATATCAAGAGGAATTTCAGCTCCACTCATATCTTCCACGTTGTATCCTGGTCAGATATCATCTTCCGCTATTAACATTAACTTCGGAGAATCTGATCCCGAACAAGGAGCGTTTGACCATTATGAACTCACCTTCACTGGCAATAATAAGAATATAACAAGGCGTATAGAAATGGACCAAGAGTACGCAGTCTATCATAATCATTTTAACCAACTATGTTTTTCAGACGGTCACTCACTTTCACGAAGTTGATTCCTGGAAAAACATATGAGTTTTCGTTATACACCGTTTACAAAGGAATAAGAAGTAGACCAGTTAAGGAAGCTATAACAACATGTGAATCAGTTTATGAGTTTGTGTTTGAGATACAGTTTTTAGATCCTCTGAAGGTTAACCAATTGTTCCCAGTTGTTGGAAAGGACTATGTTGTTCTTTATTGGGATATTGAAAACTTCGCAGATAGTGATTGTCGTTTCCGTGTCAGGTAAGTCAGAAGCTGAGTCGTAGAATTAATTTTTTTGTATATAGTTACAACGCTGACAAAATCCCTGCTGTATCTGTTGAGCTGAGAGGGGCAAGTCGTCATAGGTTCAGTAACTTGCAAGCTGATGTCTATTATACGTTTACGATACTTGTTATAATGGGCAGTGGGAAGGCGGCTGCCGAGAGTGAGAGTGAAATGGTAACAGTGCATATCCCTAAAGGTTGGTGAACCTTTTTCATTTTGGTTGTAAACTAGTTTTAGGAAGACTTCTTCCTACGGTACAGCGTCAAGGATCTCGTGAGCTTTCGGCAGAGTTTGAAAATGATTTCAATGTTTTCAACAGTCTTAATGGCGTAATCAAAAACTATGCTGTTATAGTCAGCGACAACATTGAGGTATAATTTACAGAAAATAATGTTTCTAATATCTATATTTAGAGTAACGACGATAACTATGAGTTGAAGTCATGGTTTGAAGTCAAAGACGAAGAGGGAAAATGGGGATCTTATAGGTGATAGCATATTAATGAAGTAATTACAGTTCCATTTCAGAGCATCTCCTTCCGATTATTATCCGTTTAGCAATGAAGATCAGAAGGCCGTGTTCACAATAGGAACCGATGACTGCTTGAGACGTAGTTTGGACGAGCCGGTTTTATACTTTCCACATTATGTATTTCTTAATTCCTGGTTTCAGTACTGCAACGGAATTTTGAGATCTAATACAACCTACATGGTGAAAGTTAGAGCGTATACCGACTCCAATGTCGCTATTGAATCAGACTGGGGTGCCATAGATGGTGTTGTTCAAGAAGAAGAGGAGGAAGAGAAGGGAGGTAAGAAAATTCATAATTCATAAGGATAATATGTCATTTCACATGTTTATTTGCAGGCAAAAGATTACCCTGTTATATGTACTTGAATGGTTGTTCAGGAAAGAAGAAATCAAGCACTTCAATTTTATCAATCACTTCATCCATCTTAGTTCCAATTTTTATCCTTCTCAGGTTACTATAGTTTTCTAATTGAAGTCCATTCACTAACAACGCATAAGTGCTCTGCTCAATCCTTTTGAAATCGTTATATATTTTTCTTTATATTCATTCATTTATCCTCTCAATCATTTATTTCAAGCAGTATAACTACAAATGGCTAACGAATTCTTGATCAAGTATTTTTTCTGTGCATACTATACATAATTTCAAATTTTTTATCGCGAATCATGCCGATGTGTCTTCTCATATGGGTCTACAGGTACATTATATGTTCCTTGTTCTGTCTTTCTATTAATATTAGTTCTTATTATTTTTCATAGTTATCGTATGATAAATAGATTTTAAATCAATTCTAATACTAAAGTTTTGAAATGACCGACTTGGACATATCTCCTTCAATAAACTTGTGGTCGAAATCGGGAACAGCTGCTGTTGCTCTGCCGTTATTCTGAGGCTGTTGTAATAGATGCCGATGGTTTCCACTCATGTCAACCTCTTCAGTGATCGATTGTCCCTTATTATTGAACGAACTTTTTCATTTATCAAACTTGTATTTATTGCTATAGAAGAAATACGTTTTGTTTTTCGTCATAAAATGTTTTCGTTGCTGATTATCAAATTAGTTACATTTGAATCTGTGTACAGCTGGATAGGAATGAGCCGATATCCGATGTATGGAATGCATGAAGATCCAGTATGGTCTCGTGGTGGATCAGTGGTGATGGATCCTCCGCCTCGTGGAACTTCACACGCCCCAACTCATTATGCTAGCAATAGTCACACTCTGAACACGTTGCCTTACCCCACATACCCTCAAGCTCATACGACAGTAGTTCATTCATCTGTCAAACCAGCCCCAGATGCAGATATTTATAGGTAAAAACTTGTAAAATGAAGAAAGAAGTAGTTATTCTAGAGTTGGTATTTATGGATGGAGAAAACGTTGTTTATACATATTTATTTTAATTCTGACTATTGTTATCGTGCTGAATATGGCTTTAACCGCCTGGATCATGTCCGTTCTGGATTTCTCCACGGTTTTCTTTTTTAAGATAATTTTTCAATACTTATTATACTCAGGATGGAATGGGTGCGTTGAAGATAATAGAAGACGGGATTCATGTGAAAGGCCGTGCACAGTTTGACAAACCAGTTCATTTTTCACATCTAACAACAACAAGAGTGAGTCCCTCTCCTGAAAACCATAAAGGTTTTGTAGAAGTGTTCAATACATCTAAGGTTGAAGAATAATTTATTCACACAACTGACTAATGTGTTGTTTATTCGCTCTCAGATTCGGGTAATTTAAGGGCGAAGCAATGACCATTCAAAGCTTCAGAGGAGTTCACATGCAGGCTAGGAACGCATCCGGTCAACCTTCTTCAAGTTTCACATTGGCTTCAGAAGGGAAAGCTCAAGTAGTTTGTGATCGTTTTGAGGTAATCTAGAATCAGATAAGAATTGTTCATGTCTAAATTCTCCAGATAACAGATAAAGAAAACAAGCTGCTCTTTTTCGCTGATTCGGAGGAAATCGGTGTCAAACTGCCTAATTTGAGAATTCTTGGTATAAGTGGTTACAACCCAATTTTTTCTAACTTCAGCACGTTTCAGATGATGGAGGAAGTGTTTTCGAAGGAGCCATTCAGACAGCGTATGTAAGACCAGAACCGGACACTCCATTAAGGTTTCAGCTCAATATTACGACAACTCATTGAACAAGTTTGAAGATTGGAATCTCCAACTAGAAGTATCTCGGTTGATGCCTCTCAGGATATTGAGCTTTTGACCGCTGCAGGCGAAATAAAACTAAATTCACTTTTAGACATAACAATGACTTCTAAGAAGGTAATCACAGAAGGGAAACAACAATTACTTCTCAATTCCAGGGTGAAATAAGGTTAGAGTCCCAGAGTATTTACGTAGAAGGTCTTCCAAGAAGTGTAGGAAGAGGAGCTCCACAATTACAGTTATGTGTCTGCCACAACGGTAGACTGTTTTTGTCTGTGCAAGGAGCAGATTGTCGAGCAGACAGGAATATATGTGAATAATTTTATGTAGAATAACATTTTAAATTATCAAATCACTTAACTCTCTGTTACATTTAAGCTATTACGATATCATTGAACAATAGTGACTTTAACATTTTCTTATATTCAAACAAAAGAAAGCAGAAAAAAACGGACACTATATTAAAGCAAGGATCCTGCTTATCTGCCTTCATGCTTGCATGCTGTTTAAGTGGGCGGCGCAACTTACTAGTATCAAGTCCTGCATTCTTTTTACAACCGACAACGGCTAGCTTGCAGCGAGAAGTCCATACAAATTACGCTAGCTAGAGTAGTTCCTCATATAGCGTTAAGCCTAGTTTCATTGAATGACTTCCAAGCTGCTGTGAGTATATTTAAAAATGTTTTTCTTTGGTAAGGTTACAGCCGAACAGCCATGGACTAGGGGGAAGGTTAGTCATTTTTGAATACTTCTCTTCACATCTTTTCTAGGTTTTGTTTATCTCACTCGCTCTCCGGCTAACTATAGTTCTTTATTCCAATATTCACGACTATGTGTTCAATGTACGTTGATATCTTTAGTTCATTTGCTTTATGTTTTGATAGGTCAGTTTTACTGATGTTGACTATCATGTTTTCACCGATGCGGCTCGTCATGTGAACAAAGGAGGAAGCCCATATGAACGAACAACTTATAGGTATACCCCTGTGCTGGCTTTTATGCTTTTACCAAATTTGAAATGGGCAGACTTTGGTTGGAAAGTTTAATGACATATTTAACGCTTTTTTTTATAGGAAAGTTCCTCTTTTGCTTTTTTGATATAATAGTCGGCTATCTTTGTTTCGCTATAATGGACCATTTCAATTCATTTTTTTCCGAAAGGTATTATTATGCTTAAACACTTCCTGATCTTTATTTGAACAGTAACTCGAAGTCAAAAAAAGAGATTCATAGGAAGGATGCTCCGAAGAACTTGGAAAATTTAGTGGAGGACCCTCATATTCTTCCAGTAGCTTGTCTATGGTTGGGAAATCCTTGGATTGCAATAATTTCGGCTAGGTAAACACATGGAAGTTGAGATATGTCGAATAAAACATTTAGAGGAAGCTCCGATGCCATTGTATGTGCCGCTGTTCTTTCGTCCCTCTTGTTACTGCAGAAAAAAAATGTAAAAAAAACTTTTTTTTTGTTTTCTTAACTGTTTTTCTTCCAGTGGGCTTTATCCGCCGTATGCCACGGTCTTTGTGCTGTCCATTTCAAAATTTACCCACTTATATACTTGCCTTCAATCTTCATTCATTTGGCAGAAATTAAGAAAACGTGGGGCAAGCCTGAGATTTTAAAAGCTCTCTTTTGTAATGTAAAGGGCTTTCTTTACGCTGCTGTAAGTTTGACGGTTCATTTGGAAGTAACCATAAGGATTTGTAGATATCACTTGTGGGTTTTGGCTTAGTCGTTTTACTCTTCAACTGGGTGTACGGTGATATATTTTTGGAGGAGTTTCTGATTTACCATATCAGAAGAAAAGATGTTCGTCATAATTTCTCGCCATATTTCTTGCCTCTCTATCTCACACAGGTTATCGAACTAACTCAATATTCATGTTGAAAAAAATTTTCCAGGATCAACCAAGTCTAAGTGAACTTATTGGTCTTCTTGCATTTGTTCCACAAGTGCTCTCAATTCTCTATTTTGCTTTCAAGTAAGTTATAGGATTTCTCCTTCTCACACAGCGGACTTGACCGACCGATGAAAGCCATTATTGAGTGAAAAATAGAATTTTCGATTCGACGTCGCGTTATGATATTAGTTAGGCTCTCAATAGTGTACTTATTGTGTGGCGTCTTGAACTTTCGAAGTTGTTTTCTTTAGCTATTTTTTTTCAGGTATTATGATGATTTACCTTTTTGTTGGTTCCTCACAACGTTCTCATTTGTTGCTCTGAACAAGGTGTGCACTAGTCAATATTTTATTTGGTACATGGTATTCCTTCCTCTCATCGTGGATCGTTTGAAAGTAACTTGTTATTCTCTTGTCAGCACTGAGGCTTTAATTCCAGATGAACCTCAATGAGGCTCTTAAACTAGTAGGATTATGGGTCTTTGGTCAAGCATTTTGGCTTTTCTTCGCATATTTATTTGAGTTCAGAGGCCTTCCCACTTTGGAGTACATTTTCATTGCCTCACAAGGATTTTTAGTTATAAATTTTTATATAATTCGACAGATTGCTTCGAGTTATAGTCCTAGTTTCCAAAACAAAACAAAGTCGGAATAGTATTGAACCGTCTCTTTGCATGTTCTATGATCTCAGCCAGATAGGCTTGTGTATTTATTTTCGTTTGTGAATTCGCTTCTTATTTATTAATAAACTGCCATTCCATTCAATTCTTCTCGTTCCCATGATGTTCTAATTCAATATACTTTTTTCTGCCTTTTCACCAAGATTTTTCCAAGTAAAAAACCCATCCAGATGGTATTCTATTTAATTGGTCTCGGCTTAGGCGATGTTGAGGACATTACCGTAAAAGGATTGAATGCTATTCAGTAGTTAATTTCCTAATTTTCCTCCTTAATAGTTCCCATTTTTAGGAAGTGTAAAAGGGTTTATCTGGAAGCGTACACTAGTATTCTCTGTTATGGTCTTGACAAATCCCAATTAGAATCCTTTTATGGACGAGAAATCATTGAAGCTGATCGAACCATGGTCGAGCAGAACTCTGGTATCCATTTTTGATTTTTGCTGACCCGATGTGGCTGGTTTAGATGAAATTTTTGGAGGTGCTGAAAGCGATGACATTGCAATGCTTGTAGTTGGAGACCCGTTCGGAGCCACAACTCATTCGGATCTGGTTTTGAGGGCGAAAGAGAAAAATATACCTGTTTGAAATGATAACAATTATATAATAATTCAAATATTTCTAGGTTAAAGTCATACACAATGTGTCTATTCTGAATGCTGTTGGTTGCTGTGGACTTCAAGTGAGTACAGCTTATTGAAAATGCATGCTCATACGGGCAGAGTTTTAGTTATACAACTTCGGCGAAACTGTTTCCGTTGTTATGTGGCTTGATGGATGGGAACCAGATAGCTATTATGATAAGATAGCATCGAATAAAAAAAAAGGACTCCATACATTGTGCTTATTAGGTAGATATATGTTTGCCTTTCCGTGTATCCAATCTTCTTTTTTCAGATATCAAGACAAAAGAGCAAAGTGTTGAAAACATGATGAGGTAAGGAAATTATCAGAAATTAATACGTGCTTGGAGTTTTTAAGAGGTCGTAAAATTTACGAACCTGCTCGCTACCTGACATGCTCTGAAGCAGCTTCTCAGCTTTTGAAGATATCTGAAAAACGAAAAGCAGCCGGAGAGGATTCAGGTTTGCACCTAAAACCTTCTCTCAACAAAATACATTTTTTAAAGTATATGATGCCAATACACCTTGTGTGGGATTAGCACGAGTTGGTTGGGACTCCCAGAAGGTGAGACATATAAAAAGCGGTAGTTAAGTTTTTTTTTCAGATTGCCTTCTGCTCTCTCGAAAGAATGACAACTGTTGATATGGGACCACCATTGCATTCTATGATTATTCCAGGTGAGGTTATGAGACAAATTCACGAAAACGTATTTTTTATAGGTGATATGCATCCTCTTGAACTCGATTTGTTGAACACTTACAAAATTGAATAGTGTGGAGTGCCGTTATTGTAATCTTGTTGATCATTGTTGATTCTGTTGAGTTTTATTAGTTTTATAAATTTTTAATATCTATACATCAATGCTATGAAATTGAGGTGAAAGTTTTCCCGCGTTCATACTATTATTGTGCTATTCTTTTTGGACTTTCCCGACGCGGACGTTTCTTCCAGTCAGAATCAATACTGAACTTAGTTGTAGCATCTCCCCAATCCGGCCAGTATCTAATTTAACAGAAATATCGTGTACCTGATATAGAATTTACCTGTTCTTAATTCTCTCAACATATTCCATGAGATTCGGACACTCGGTTTTAATGAGATCTAAATGCTCCGACTCATATGGGGCATAGACAACTTGTGCTAGAACTCCAAATAAGGTAGCGTCAATCTAAATAGGGTATGAAAATTCAAATAATCAGAGGGCACATACTCGAGTCGGCTTGAAACCGGTTAAATAATGTTTTGCTCCCAAATACTTACTGATCGCTTTAAGATCATCACTTCCGATTTCAATCTGTTCTTGGCGAGTATGCTTTCCTAATCCAGAGATGAATAGGACATTTCGTTTCTATAGAAAAGCATAGGTATGAGAGAAGTGTTGTTCTTACCGCTTTTACGAAATACTTTTTGAAAATACCCGAAAACAGATAAAACCAAATACCGCCGTATAGATGCGGAGGTAAATTCTCGATTATCTGCATTTGTGAATAAGAATTTAATTCAAGAGTATACTGATAAACCTTATCGATGTTTTCCAATCTGGAAACGAGTAAGCTTTGACTCAAACTTGTTTCTGCCATTTTCTCGAATGCTCTACCGGTCGCTCGTTGTTCATCTGACAAATGTTCTTCGAGAGACTTTTTCTCGAGAATATTCGTTAAATCTCTTAAGAAGAAAAGTTTTTCGCTACTGTTGACCGGCTTTAATCACCTGATAATGAAAGAAGAATCATGGTATTCCTTCCCATTATACTCAACAAATGGCAGAGTTCCTTCAGTGGAACGAGTGAATATACCACATGGAACATTCTTTAAACATCCTTTTAAGAAGAATTTATATGGTATTTTACCTTATAAGGTATCTCTGCAATTCTTAGCCACGTTTCTAGCTTCAAGCAGTAAGGCGATATATTTGGAATGAAACGTGTGCGTGGAAATTGATACAGATAGACAATCCCTGGAATTAATTTTTGCAGATGTTAATGCTTCAATTATTTTCTATTGTTGGCAGCAATCAGGAAATAATTATAAAATATTGCAGAATCAAACTTTTCACGCGCCAATCAACTTTTGTCAACTTCGATATTTCTCATTCGTACTATACAATCGCATGGAAACGGTTGCATTCTAAAGCTGCTGCGATGTTATCAGGTTAGTATTTTTATTTCCGATTTATAAAACCGAAACTTTCATTTGAAACAAGATGATTCACCTGCATCCCAATTAGTTTTAATTGGAGTATTCCGCGTGTGTTTTTGATTAAAAAGTTTGTAGATGAGTAATGAACCACTACCAACTAAAGCCGCTTTTCCCCATGTTGGCAGTTCATCAAAATAAGATGTGACCGACTTCCAACTCGATTCTAAGTTCATGTAGAGAAATTCTGAATTATTGTTTGAGAGAGAAAGTTGCTATATTTACTATGTATAAAATTGAGTAAAGGAGGAACAATAGAATATGTAGTTAAAATGCGGGTATGGGCATTGAAACTTGTTTGAATCGATGAGTGGTGAGAACGTACGAGAAAAATAACGAAAACATTATGAAGACTTTTCAAATTTCAAACAGCTGCAGGGTTTCTTTTAGAAAAAAACGTTGCTCTCTGTAATTTAAGATTTCGCGCCAACAAACAGAATAAGAACAAAAGTAAAAATTTTCAGAAAAGAAGAAAAGGCTAATTCGCCGTTCTTACTTCAGCAATAATCGATCCAGATAAGAAGTTTACGTCGCATATATGAATCTGAATTGATTTTCTAATCACTTTTCTATAGAATGACAAACAGAGCACGAACGAAATCATTTCCAGATCCATCTGGTTTGAGAGGCGTTTTTTTCTCCTTTTCACTTATTGTTTTTTTAGAACTCAATGATTCTTGAACAAACGCGATAGTTTGTTCAGAAATATAAGACAAAAAAATGAACTCTAAGGAAAAACGATGTTATTCTAAGTGAAACAACTTGAGATATTTCGTATAAAATCAGATTGATATCATATAGCTTCCAAATGAATCTGTTTCAATGGAGTTCAGTAAACATTGAAGATGAGAGGTTATATCTTTAGAGATATCGAGAAAGAAGAGATTAAAAACATGATTTGTCCAATGTTACAGCTCAGAGAAGAAGACAAGAAGAAAAAGAGAAAAATTAATGAGGTAACGAGGTGAAAATCATCTCAATTCATCAGAAATTTCAGCAAAGAATGTGCGAATTAAGGCATAACTTGGCCCTGTCAATAGTCTCGACCTTCACTCAAGTCAACCGTTACGACTCCCAAACAGAGGCAAGTGAACAAACCTTTTCCGATCGCTCGTCATCGTTCAGAAAATCAGTTAATCAATAAACATGCCAAATTATTCGAAAGGCGATATTCAATACAACCTTCCTTTCTACTTGTTTGCTTGCGAAAAAAAACATCAGCGCTATAAAGTGGAGCTCATGAGAGAAAAAGAATGTGATTGTTGATGCCGAAGGCCGTGGGGTCTTGTCTCCTCGGGTCTTCACTGACACATCAACAAGCACCCAGAGTTCAACTCCTCCACGATCAGTCCAAGCCCGATCGACGAGGTTCGCTAACAATAACGAAAAAAAAAGAAAAGGAGAAATCTGAAAGGGTTCTACAGATTGTGGGAAAGAGCAATTATTAAATTGTTTCCTATAAAAAAAATCTCACGCTCAACTCTTTCGATGAAAGTTGATAGAAATGTATACAATAGAAATGTGGAATTTCCTCCTGAATTATCAGGATGCCACCATTATTTTTACTTTCGAATTAACAGTTTAACTAATCTAAGAAAAAAACTTTCCCTGGAGAAACTCACACGCTCATCGAGCGCCACAATTTTCATGCGCCCACTACTTCTCATACACATGCAGGCCTGCATAATTGTGCTCCGGAACGCGCTCCGTTGAGAAATTGCGGGAAGTTAATTTTTGAACTAGTGCCGCGTACAAGTTGGCACAATTGGCGCGAAGAGCAGGATGAAGTTCCCATTTTCATTTCGGTTTACCTAAAATGATGTTGATTGTTTTTGATTGTCATGATCATATTATTTGTTGATATTATATCGTTTCAGTAAGATGAGTGACTCAGACAGTGATGGAGATTTTTTTATGGACACTCCAAAAGCTAAGGCTAAGAAAAGTCCGAAGAAAACACCAAAAAAGTCTGAGAAAGGTTGTTTCATTTGTTATTCCCATTTAAATTTTTTGTTTCAAGGCGATATTTCTATGTCTATGACTGAAGAGGATAGAAATGTTTTTACTAATATCGATAAAACTAATAAGAAAATGTCTATCGAAGATATTTATCAGAAAAAGTCGCAGCTCGAACACATTCTTCTCCGCCCCGATACTTACATCGGTTCTGTGGAATATTCTGATAAGACGGTAACGTTGAAAGTCTGATTCCGTGAAATGCTTCATGTTTCAGCCAATGTGGATTTATGACCACAAGGAAGAAAAGCTGGTGCAGCGTGAAATTTCCTTTGTTCCTGGATTGTACAAAATCTTTGATGAAATACTTGTAAATGCTGCTGATAACAAACAGCGGGACCCTAAAATGAACTTGATCAAAGTCGAAATAGATCCGTTAGTTTCTAAACTGTGCGACTACTTATGTGGATAGTATTTAGAGAGAGAAATTTCGTCTCTATAATGAATAATGGTAAAGGTATCCCAGTTGTTCTCCACAAAGTGGAAAAAATGTTTGTGCCCGAAATGATTTTCGGAACTCTTCTAACATCTTCAAACTACGACGATAGTCAAAAAAAGGTATGTTTGCCATGGATGAGATTGTCTTATGTCCGTCTGTTCAGGTAACTGGTGGTCGTAACGGTTATGGTGCCAAGTTGTGTAATATTTTTTCTACTGAATTTACTCTGGAAACATCATCAAAAGAATATGGAAAGAATTTTAAGCAGGTAGTTCAGGGCTTGTTGTCGATCATATTCTCTGCTGTAGACATGGGTAAACAACATGACGAAGGATTCCGATGCTGTCATTTCAAAATCGTCAGGAGATGACTTCACGAAGGTCTGAGTTAATAGAAAGGCTTCTTATTCATGATATATGTTTTGTTAAGATTTCTTTCAAACCAGATCTGAAAAAGTTCAAAATGAATAAGCTGGATGATGACATTGTGGGCTTGATGATGAGAAGAGCTTATGATATTGCTGGTAGTACGACCGGTGTTAAAGTTTTTTTGAATGGCAAGCAAATCCCTGTAAGTTGAGAATCATCAGATCTTCTAATAATAGAAACTAATCTAGGTACAAGGGTTCAAACAGTATGTTGAACAATATACTAAGGATATGACTGGACCTACGGGAGATCCGATAAAAGTAGTCTTCGAAAACGTAGGTGTTTCAATCAAAAAACTAAAATATGATATTTTTTAAGGTCAACAAAAGATGGGATGTTGCTTTGGCAGTGTCTGAGCGAGGATTTCAACAAGTCTCTTTTGTTAACAGTATCGCCACTACAAAAGGTGGTCGTCACGTCGACTATGTTGCTGATCAGATGGTTGCAAAGCTTATCGACACCATCAAGAAAAAAGTTGGAAAGAGTACTGTAAATGTGAAACCCTTCCAGGTAACTTGTAGAAATTCAATGGATCATTAACGTGTTTTCAGGTTAAAAATCATATGTGGGTATTCGTCAACTGTCTGATTGAAAACCCCACTTTCGATTCGCAAACGAAGGAAACGATGACTCTTCAGTCAAAATCATTCGGATCCAAATGCGAGTTATCCGATAAGTTTTCTAAACAAGCGATTGGCTGTGGAGTTGTTGATGCTGTTCTGGCATGGGTGCGTTTCAAGCAGCAAGAAGATATGAACAAAAAATGCTCAGGAAAAAAAACAACAAAACTGAAAGTTGTATAATATCCGTTTTCTAGACAACACTTTTTAACTTTCAGGGCATACCGAAGTTAGAAGATGCTAATGACGCTGGAACCAAAAATTCCCATCTTTGCACTCTCATCCTCACTGAGGGAGATTCTGCTAAAACTCTTGCCGTATCTGGCCTTGGTGTCGTTGGAAGAGATCGCTATGGAGTATTCCCATTGCGTGGTAAACTTCTTAATGTGCGAGAAGGAAATTTGAAGCAGGTCTGCCTATCCACAAAGTTAAGAAAGAACTCGTATAGTTCAGGTTGCCGAGAACGTTGAAATTAACGCTCTTATTAAAATTATCGGTCTCCAATACAAGAAAAAATATGAAACGGAAGATGATTTCAAGAGTCTTCGGTACGGGAAAGTTATGGTCATGGCAGATCAGGTTAATCCGTTTTTTAAAAGTGTAATATTCATATTGCTTCAGGATCAAGATGGTTCCCACATCAAAGGTCTTGTGATTAATTTCATTCATCATAACTGGCCGAGTTTAATTCAAAGAAATTTCGTAGAAGAGTTCATCACTCCTATCGTGAAGGTGCGAGTTCTCTAAAGTCAAAAAAAAAGTTTTTGTCTTAGGCCACGAAAGGTAAAGAAGAGATTTCTTTCTTCTCCATCCCTGAGTATAATGAATGGCGTAATGCCACAGACAACTGGAAAACTTACAGAATCAAGTACTACAAGGGATTGGGTAAAAATGAACTTTGAATGATTTAAAAAAATATAAGTATAGGTACATCAACTTCGAAAGAAGCTAAAGAATATTTCTCTGACATGGGCAGACATCGAATCAAGTTCAAGTATGGAGGACCCGATGATGATAAAGCTGTTGACATGGCTTTCTCGAAAAAAAAGATCGAGGAGAGGAAGGAATGGCTGACGAAATGGATGGCTGAAAAGAAAGAGAGACGTACACAAGGTTTAGAAGAGGAGTATCTCTATGATAAAGATACAAGAGCGGTTACATTCAAAGATTTCATCAACAAGGTGAGTGTGACAAAAAGTGCTGTAATTATTTCGATATATTTAGGAGCTTGTTCTCTTCTCCAATACTGATAATGAAAGATCTATTCCCAGTCTCGTCGACGGTTTCAAGCCGGGACAGCGTAAAGTTGTTTTTGCTTGTTTTAAAAGAGCAGACAAGCGAGAAGTGAAAGTTGCTCAATTGGCCGGATCAGTTGGTGAACTTTCTGCATACCATCATGGTGAAATGTCTCTAATGGGTACAATCATCAATTTAGCACAGGTTTTTTTCATAAAATTGTACTCATCAGGTTTTTTATTTCTAGGATTTTGTTGGTTCAAATAATATTAATCTCCTGTTACCCATTGGGCAGTTTGGAACAAGACTTCAAGGTGGTAAAGATAGTGCTAGTCCTCGTTATATTTTCACTCAGCTGAGGTGCTTTTCTCAACCATACTTCAACATAATTTTCTCTGTTTAAGTCCCGTTGCGCGTGCTATGTTCCCAGTGTCAGACGATCATGTACTCAGATTTCTCTTCGAAGATAATCAACGAATTGAGCCAGAGTGGTACTGTCCAATTATTCCAACAATTCTGGTCAACGGGGCGACAGGTGTTTTTTTATCTGTTACTGCTGTAATTGTATGTCAGTTTTGCAGGTATTGGAACAGCTTGGTCTACCAACATTCCTAACTACAATCCGAGAGATATTGTCGCAAACATTCGAAGAATTATCAAGGGGGAGAGTCTCAAGCCTATTGTACAATTTTTTCTCAATTCTTTAATAATCTTAATACTCCTGCAGAAACCTTGGTATAAAAACTTCCGGGGCCACATAGATACGATCGACCCTACAAGATTTGTATGTTATGGAGAGGTTTCAGTTCTGGGAGATGATACTATTGAAATCACTGAGCTCCCCATTAAAACCTGGACTCAGACATATAAAGAAACAGTCCTGGAGCCTATGCTTGAAGGAGGTGATGGCAAAGGGGAAAAATCTGAAAGAAAGCCTGCTATGATCGTGTAAGTGATCAAAATGTGGTCGATTCCGACATTTTTATATTTTTTATCATATTTTATTATGTTATAGAGACTTCAAAGAATATCATACGGATACCACTGTCCGATTTGTCGTGAAATTGCCTCCTGGAAAGTTAAGACAATACGAGTCTGAGGGTCTTCATAAAGTTTTCAAGCTCCAGTCTGTGTTAAACACAACATCCATGGTAAACACGTTTTTTTCGCTATTGGTTGGTCAATGATGACAAAAATATTAGTATGATAATCAGTTTCCGATCCCTCTCAGTTTCTCCAGAGTTAATTTTCTGAGATAAATTGTTTCGGGATCTTTTTGAAACTAACAAGATCACGCTTGTTTTATGCGATGACGTGCAAAGTGATTGACTTCATCTAAAGGCACAAGCTTACAAGAAGAGAAATATACATTTTATGTATATATAATTTATGATTACTAAAAGGCGAATCTGAGACCTACATTCCACCAAGAAGCTTATTTTATTTATTATACGTTCATCGAACGAAATAAAGTTGAGAATATACAACACTGTTTAAGGTTCTATTCGACTCCGCTGGCTGCCTGAGACGTTTCTCATCTCCCGAAGAAATTTGTAACGAGTTCTTTGGAGTACGTAAGCAGAAATATATTGAGAGAAAGCGTTTCTTAGAAGGCATGCTCAGTGCCCAAAGCAACAGATTATCGAACCAGGTTGGCATTCTTTTATGTTGTCAGTGATGGTAGTTTTTCAGGCTCGATTCATTCTTGCAAAAATTAAAGGCGAAATCATTATGGAAAATAAGAAAAAAGCTGCGATCGTTGAGCAATTAGTCAAGCATAGTAGAACCCCTCTTGATTCAAATTTTAAAGTGATTTTTTGAAGATTTCGATCCTGATCCAGTCAAAAAATGGAAGGAGTTACAGAAAAAGAGGGAGCTAGAAGAAACGGGAGAAGTAGATATTGAAGACGAGGAAGAGGAGGAGGATGGTGTGACAGATGCTCAGAAAAAATTGGATACGAAACTTTCGGACTTTGATTACCTTGTTGGAATGGCTCTCATAAAACTCTCCGAAGAAGAGAAAGATAAACTCTTGAAGGTTAGTTTGATATTGTTGCTAATGCTAAATATATAGATATTTGAAGGAGAGTAAAGAAAAGCTGGATGAGTTAAAGAAGCTGGAAGCCAAAACATGGTCTAACTTATGGGAAGACGATTTGGAAAATTTCCTGGAGGAGCTTAAGAAGCAGGAAGCAAAAGAGCGCGCAGATCAAGAAACCAGCATCAAACAAGCTACGAAAAAACTACAAGGGGAAAAACCAAAAGCAAGGAAAGGTGCAGTAGTCGCGGTTAGTTCGGGAAAGAATCGCAAGAACTCTTTTTCTTTTTTCAAGGAAGTGTTACCTTCAAAAGATGGAGTTAAAGTTGAACCTCAAATGGACAGAGCTCTGAAAGAGAAGTACGAAAAATTAGCTGCTCCTAAAAAAGTGAAGAAAGAAGCAAAAAAAGAGGGTGGCGATATCAAGAAGTTCATGAACATCAGTGTAATACCTTCTTTAGTTACTTAGCTGCTGATTTTATCGACTTTCAGACTGATAAACTAGAGCAAGAAGATGATTCCACCACTGAAACAAGCCAGGACGACGACGACGCTCCCAAAAAGCTATCAGACTCGTCTAAGGAAAATGATGACGAAATCATGGTCATTGATTCGAAGGTAATTAAGCATTGACTACCCTGTATATAACCCATATGCTCATAGAAAGCGAAAAATGAGCCCAAAGCTGCCCCTCCTAAAAGAGCCAGGAAGAAAGTAATCATCGACGAGGAAGACGATGTTGATAAGGATGAAGATGATGACTCCTTCGCACTGCCGAAGAGCTCAAAAAAAGTTGGCTGTTGCCAATGCTAAGGAGGTTAATTTATGTTTTCAGGCTGATGATTCCATGTTCGATTTACCATCTGATGAAGAGGATTATGTACCCAAAAAGAAAGCAGCACCCAAGAGGGCACTGGCTAAACCTAAGGAAGCAGCTAAACCTAAGGAAACTGCTAAACCTAAGGAAACTGCTAAACCTAAGGAAGCTGCCAAATCTAAGGAAGCTGCCAAATCTAAGGAACCTTCTAAAATGACGGACTTTTTCGGAAAAAGTAGTAAAGCAAAGAAAGATGATTCAGGTTCTGAAGACTCGGATACGGCTAAAATTGTCAATAGAGTAAAATCGTACGTTTTTTTTAAAGGATGATTCTATTTCTGTGTTTAGATCACGTGCCAGAACTGCTAAGTATAATTATGACGAGTCTGACGATGAAGAAGAAGATCCCATTCCAAAAAAGAAATCCAGAGTCATCGATAGCGATGAGGACTACTAATTTATTCTCCTAACACGCCTGGATTTTTATTATAAATACTACTGTAAATTCAATGAGCTACATCGGTTTATTTTGAATCTCTAACACATGGATACTGATTTCTGTGTAATTATATTCTGTACTTGCTTTTAATAATAAAATTATTTTCTAAGTTACTAAATTCTAACATTGTTTTGTTTGGTTGTCTTCCATTGTGCTCTCTTTCGTCTTATGTCATGTTATCTGCATGCTCACGTGTTGTTAACCATAACTATTTCAGACTGCATGTACTAATGTCAATCTTCCGGATAATTCTAATAATTGCCTTGATTGTTGTGTCTCGAGCCGTTGACCCAAAGGATGTACTTCACCGAGTTATGAAAGCTGGATTCTATGAGCCTTGGTCTGGTCGGGAAGTTCTATGTAATTGCTCGTACAACTGTTCTACTGATGATTTTAATAAGATCCTGGAAGAGTTCGGTATAACGAACGCATGTATAGGGAAAATTTGCGTTAGGAAGAAAACTTATGTTGGAACATCGGACCAGCCCCAACTCAAAGAGTTCTATGGCTGCCTGGGCATGCCTGGTTCGAAGGTGGACTTGGTCAGTGAGACTATAACGCATTGTACGAACAAAGGGTATGAAAGTGCATCTTGTTGCGAAGAATCCTTCTGCGCCACTAAGTTGAACATCACCCCTCCCAGTTTAGAGCGGGCCAGGCATTTTCTTCCTGGCTCACCTCCAGGAATACTGCAGTCTCTACGGAAAAACGATGCACTCGTAGTGATAATTTTCATTCTTATGGGCATTGGAATATCAACTTTATTATGCATGACGTTTCTCTATATTTTTGATCGTAAGTTATTATGACTGATGTTTTAACATATTTATTATCAGGCGATAGAGTTCTGTTCTGGATTGGTGGATATAAGCTGGAACGGAAGGTCGAAGTCGGAGAAACGTCTGAGATGATTCACTCCATGACAGATACCGACTCAATGGGATCTGGATCAGGCCCACAAAGGATGCAAAGTTCTACAATGTGTATGAAGGTCCAGCTAGGGTCAGAAATTGGATTTGGCAGATTCGGAGTTGTGTATCATGGAGAATATTCTGGACAACAGGTGGCGGTTAAAGTTTTCCAATCTCGGAATGAAGAGTCGTTCGCTCATGAAGTGGCAATATACGATAGACTGCAGTTACGTCATCCTAACTTGCTCTTAATGTTAGGATATGATCTTCATTCTGGAAATACTGGAGTTGATTTCTGGCTGATTACTGAATTTCATTTGCACGGATCTCTCTATACCTACCTTGACAGGGCCCCTATAGACGAACGTCTCCTATTGCAAATGGTTCGCAGTTTATGCCAAGGATTGTCTTATTTACATTCACCTACGGCTGGTTCGTATGTTAAGCCTAGAATAGCCCATTGTGACATAAAACGTCAGAATATACTTGTCAAGAAAGACTTTACGCTTGCTATAGGAGACTTGGGCCTCTCAGTTTCGGATGAAAAAAGCTGTTTTGGTTCGAAGAATCTAAGATCGGGTACGGCAAGATATGTTGCTCCTGAGTTTTTACACGAAAAGCCCATAGCTAGTTTCCACCCGTTCATCTATGCTGATATGTATTCCTTCGGATTAGTTCTATGGGAAATGTGTAGGAGAACCAGAGCATCAACTTACAACGCTAAGCACCCAGAGCAATCTATCGCTTATTATGAGTGTGTTACAAGAGATCCAACCTATGAAGAAATGAAGAAATGCGTCAGTGAACAAGGGTTACGCCCACTCATGGAATCGTCCTGGTTTTCGAGTCCCGTGATGGTGGAATTAATTGAGACTATGAGAGACTGTTGGAGTCCTGAGCCATTCAATCGTCCCGAAGCAACTACTATCAGGAGAAGAGTCGATGAAATATGCAACCGTCATGGATTCATTATTGAGCAATAATATCCTATACCGATAAGTTTTTTCACTACTAGTAAAATTTGTCAATAAGGATTATATGTAAATATAAATACAAACTTATATATATATAGATAGATAGATATATATAAATATAGATTTAAGTATTTACCAGATAGACCCTATTTTGATCCTCAGGATAAATAATTAATATTAGATACTCTCGCTTATCCCATACATTCCTTAATTGTTAACACTTCCTTCCGCTATGCACAATGAGCACTTTAAGCTGGCTACATCATTTCAATCTCTTGTGCAATTCTTCATTGTTCGAATATCAAATTAATTAATACAATCATAACGTAACACTACCTGGAAAATCTTTCAAACGAGCTTAGAATAATGGAATAAATTAAGTTTGCGTTGAATCTTCTTCTCTAACTCTTCTTTTTGCGTGGTGCCATTTGACCATACTGATTTCCGAAACAGTAAGGACAAGACTTTTGCAGAGGTTGCTGCTCGACTATATTGCGGTAGTTAAGAGGCTCTGTCATTTGATTGTGTGGAGGTATCATTCCGGGTAAGGTGTTCATCAACTGTCCAGTGTATGGATGGTGTGGTGGATTAAATGTAATTTGAGCGGAGTTCATAGGAATTTGACGCTGGGCTTGTGATGTCTGTTCGGTAGGATAACTGTTGAAGTTCTGAGGCAAGTTCATAGGAGGTAAATGTTGTTGCTGCTCATTTTGAGATTGAAACTGTTGCTGCATAGATGGAGAGGAGTAGATCTAATATTTCACTAATTTGTTGGAATTTTAAATCTTCTCCAAAATACCTGCTGAATTCGTTGAGCTATAGCTTTTCCCAACTCGGTTCCAAATGCTTGAGCGTTTCCACCGAATATAGTGGATGATGGGCTAAAAATCCAGAAAATATCATTGGAGGGGTAGTAGGAAACTAACGGAGATGGTTGATGCATGCTTTCAGATTGATGAACTTGTGTAGGATAGGAGCCGAAAGACGTTGGTAGAAATATGGTTTGCGGACTTTCCATTGCTTGCTGTTGTTGATGGAAGTTTGGTGGAGGAGGATATCCCAAAGAACAGAGCGGACAGTTCTCATTTTGAGCGATGACAGAAGTAATAACTGATAAAACCAAAAACGCAGAATACATTCTGAAAATGAAAGTGAATTGAAAAAAGTACATGACGAGACGAAAACGTATTTATCAAACAATTAAGGACGATACGGTGTGAGTGTGAAACTTCTCATTTTAAAACATTGAAATAGGAGATGCAGCATGGCGGAGGAATGCGTAAAAGTAAGAGCGTTACAGAAGGTTGAGTCTAACATCTGATGAACTTTCTGTCGGACGTGCGACTAATAGTTCATCTGCTCTTCTTCGTTTAACGTCCATCTCACTTTAGCAGGATTGTATGCTCATACGCGAGCCGACCTATGTATCTATCCATCTGTACATATTGACGCTTATTTTTCTTTTTCTATTGTATTACAGTGTGAAACCGGACAACCCATCCCACCCCTCTTCTTGTTCTTTTTCGAGTTTTTCTCCTGAGGTCAACTGCTCCTATCAAAAGCCAACCTGAGCACCGTCAAGAGGGACCAGTCAGTTCGTATTAAATGATTCGCATATATCAGCGGAATTTCATAAAGTTATTGAAACAGGTCTCTATGGAGTGCTCCAAGTTGAAGAACAGCTTGTTTTCTTTGAACAATAGAAGTCAATTGTAGCAAATAATAACGGGATAACGTTCACACTGCCATTCATATGATTGAAACTGACACTACAAACGAGAAAAAACAATTTAAAGATTGTTCCAATTCTCAAAAGAGTTCCCGTTTGATCAGAAATTGTGCAGGTTTTTTTCCATTACAGAATGCCGATGAGTGTTTCACATCAAACTACAAATACTTCAGACATGAATTCAGAATAATTTTCGCCTACGTATTTCAAAGTAAGATCTGACTGTCACGTTTGAGCCAATGTTGTCTTAAAGTTCACTTTTCTTTAGGTTAGGAAGTTTGTCGAGTTTGTAAAAAGGAAACTCTGGTTGCTTAGTTTGGTCTCGTTTTTAGCAGATGTGAATCTTTATTTTCGGAGAAAGAGTTTAAGTATCAGGTATTAGAAGCCGTGGGAGCTATTGTAGCTTTATCTAAACATATTACAAGTAATCGAGCGATTTTATAGTGATGCAAACCCATTTCTAAAGACTGGATTAATTATTCATTTGTTAAAGATTGTTTATAAAATAGTTTATTCGTCTGAGTGCATAACACATATTAGGCTAGAATAAATAAGGCTAGAAATCTGGTGAGTGTATGAAAATGAACTGAATGAACTCCCCAATCAAGATTTGTTTTTGGATTTAAAAACCCGTAGTAGAAGGAAAGAATGTGAGGAAAAAGTTATCAAAGTAAATAGACTGAGATGATGCCCTAAAGATTCTTAGGAAGATTAGAATTCTCAGAACATGGGAGAATGCAAATTGCAAAAACATATTTCATTGAATTTTTTGAAATTTTGCAGCTTAAACTTTTCTCAGATTGTTATAAGGAGCTTAGCTCCCACCTTGTTGAAGCTTTTCCAGCGGCGGACATGTCGGACGACGACAGTGACCATTCAGCTTTAGGAGAAACTTTACGTGACATTCAAAAAAGACAGCTGGCTGAAAGTAAAAAAGAGTTATCGATTTCCTTCAGGATCTGGTTAGTTATTTGGACGTAAAAAGACATTTATAGATTTCTATATGTCCATAGAATTGAACCATTAAAAGTGGTTTGGAAGATCAATAATGGTATTTCAATTTGTGTTTGTCCACAATATAATTTTCTATTTTACTCATGGATAGTTGTGCTCGGAATGCTCACTCTACTATATTCTATACTATTTCAAATAATTAGAATGTACATCACCTGATCAACGTCTAATGAGAATGCATGAACGAATAATCCTCCTCTCAAGTCTTTTGAGTACTCCACATGAGGCAGAACAGTTGGAAAAAGTGAGCAACCGAACTCATCCAGTATGGGAACCTTTAAGGTTTTGAATAATAAGTCTAAAAACTAAATGTTTCAAACTCACAGCATCGCGTGATGTTTGAGAGCTTCTGACTGTACAGTTGTGAACCATTATGCAGTAAAGGCCTGTATCTCTTCCGCCATGTGAACATGACCATGAATGATAAAGCGGGTCTCCAACATGTACCTGGCTTAAATTTATAAGTTATATAAAATGCTTTTTGAATATCTCCAACTTATGAACGACCGGGCCATTTTCATCATTCCGCCTGACGGAGTATTCACATTCGGGATCAGGAAACCTAAGTTTTGTTTTAGTAGGACTCATCAGTTAACAAACCTTCCCATAGGCAGCTCTATGATTTCTTCGGGTGCAAAAACATGGTCTTTATGTTTTTCTATAGCGAGAACGGATAAGAAAAGTGTGAGAAGTACGAACATCCTGGAAAGTATAAGTGTAACTCGTTAAAGGATTCTCTATCAGGAACTGATGGAACATCTTAAATACTCGTGAGGAGAACAAATGTTTACTCCACTTCTGTGAATTCAGGATTACTTAATAAGAGATATTTTGGCAGAAACCAGACCCTCAGGCAAAATAAGAAGTTAAAGGCAAATAATCGTTGAGTTGCTCACAAGAAAAGAAGACAACGAGTAGTAATTGAACAGTAATCCAGTTTTTTTCAAACAGAGCTGACTGTTTGAAGGAGATTTTTATTAAGTTCTAAGTTGGAAGATAATTTTAGCGATTAGTGAGTACAATATGTAAAAAAAACAATTGCTCATAAGGTTGAGATAAACGTTCGATCTTCATAGGCGGTCATGATAAGATTATGGGGGACCATAGTCTGCCAGGTGAAATAACGGCAAGATGAAAGAAGTATTTTCGATATTTTTGTTTGAAAATGTCGCAAAAGGATAAGGATGTGTTAGGATAGATACGAATTCGGAAAAAAAAAGATGAGAAACAGAAGGCGAAGAGAAGGAAACTCCGACGATGAAGAAATGATGAAAATGAGATGAGAGGGGAAGAAGGGAAGTGAGAGGTTTGGAGGTTAAGTTAAGGAATATTGAAGGGTCATTTGATTATCAGAAAAAGGCCTTATATCGTAAAATATACATTAGAATTGGAAGAAAATCAAATCTAATGATCGTAATGTTATAGTTAATAGATAGAGAAGAGAAAAAAATGGATGAAATGATCGAAGTTGTCAACGACAACTACAATGACGAAGATACGGATAAAAGATGAGAAATATGTCGCTGTGAAAGTAGATGACCAATATATTTGTTTATAAGTTTATTTATATTGATTATCAATAAAATTATACTTTCTAAGATCATTTCGGGAAGAAGATCTTTTTCTTTGACAAAGGAAGCTTTCAATTGAATGGATTACATTTGGGGTAGCGAAGCTATAGAAGAATGTGTTTGAATGTGTGTAATGAACTGTCTTGACCTTCATCATACAACCTAAATATGCTGATGATTGAAGTTACAAGAAAAAATCTAATACCTTGTAAGAAAATGATTATTTATTACTTGCAAAGAGATTCTCCAGTTCTCATTCTCTCTCTTCCCTGTAGCTGTCTGTTCGCCTCCAATTTTTTTACATGAAGAGAGGGAAACGAAATAGAAATGAGAGAGATGGGATCTAATAAAATTTCTTACAATCGTTCGCTCTATTTGGATTCGCAGTATTTATTTTGTCATGGAAAAAAAGGTTTTATTTCTCTGAAACAGTTGACCAGAAAGGTTTTTTTATATTCAAACGAGCATTTATCGAATTGCAAATTTGCTTTGCTCCCTTCTTCCATTCTCATCATAACTTTTTCATTTCTCAGGATTTTCTCAAATTAAGAAATTCTTCTTTGTTACTCCATATAGAACCACATTCCGTTCGTTTTGCCATTTGTTCTTTACAAATAAAAACATGCTTTCTGTCCAAGTTTTCAGCTTTTTTAAATTTTTTGAAGCTATGGGGATTGAAAATGTGATAGGGTTTGGTGTCTTCTGACAGAGAGAAGACGTAGTTCGAAATCATATGCTGCCTGTTTACTTTTTCTTTCTCGTTTTCATATCCACGATTGTCTTATACATTCTCCTCTCTTTCTCTATATCTCTCTTCTCTTCTTCAACACTGTTCGGAAGCTAATAGTTGACAAGAGAATGAAGAGTAAAGAGAGAGAGAGAGACAGAGAGAACGGGAGGGAAGGGTGAGAGAACGAAGGAAAGCTTGAGTTAGTTGAAGTATAAGTAGTGTATTTAGCCAAAAGCTTCTAATTTACAGATGAGTTGTGAGCGAACTGTCTAAGAGCAACTATAAAGAGATTGATTGTACATAATACGAGAGAAAATAAAATATTAAGAGATAGATAGTGTGCAAAAGAAGGAATGAAAAACGAAGACAGAGATTTCCGGTCAGACATATCCTGCTCTATTGGCTCAACGGCCGAAATGAACTTCTTTTCATTCCAATTTAACTCAAATTTTCTATGAGAGTATGTTTATTTCATTGTTTTTATAAAAGTTTCTCCTTCCATCCTCCATGGAATTTCATTAATTTCATCTTTTTTTAAATTGATGTATTTTGTGGAAAAACTGAAATCAATTGATGAACATGTGTTTGTCATTTCTATCTTTGTTTCGAACAATTCGTTTGAAATCTCTTAACCATTATGTATTTTAGAATATTTCATTTTCTTATTTTTCAAACGATTTAAAGTCTTTTTAGGACGAAAACCTCATGGGGTGATTGGATGGTTGGGTGGTCAGCAACAAGGGCATCCAACCGATAGACGGACAGGAAGGAGAGAAAGAGAGAAAGAGAATGAGGGAAATGTACTATAGAAGGCGAGAAGAAAGGAAACAAAGAGAGTCAGAAAGGGTAAGAGAGAAGAGAATGTATTTCCTTAATTTCATATTTAATTGCTTCGAACAAGAACTTGAAGAAGAGAATGAAATGCTTTTCAAACAAACTCTTTTTTTTTTGTTTTTTTTTCTCTTTCTCGCTCCCCTTCTCACCGAATTTTTTTTAAGTTTTCAAATTATATATGTCTTCATGAAGTTTATTATAATAGAATTCTCTTTATTCCATTTTTATTTTCCCATTTCTTCTTTTCTGACTCTCTGACCATTCATCCATCTCACACTTTAACTTTATGAAAGTAATCGATAAGTGTAGTCTGTATATGGCACAGATTTTTGATACAAAATTTTGGCTTTTTTATTTTTTTTCTGAAAGTTTGTCATCCATCGGCCTTGACCAATGGCGATCGATTGGCATTCTTAAATTGTAATCATTTTAATAATTGATTTATACATGAATAGTTAACAGTTTCAATTACTATTGTTCAATAGTATACTTCTTCTCTTTACTATCTCTCTTTCTGTTTCTCTTTATGTCTTACTCTCTCTCTCTCTCTCTCTCTCTCTCTCTCTCTCTTGCTCTTTCTCTGTCTATCTATTTCTTGCTCCTGCTTCTTCTCGAGAGTATTATTGACCTATCTACCTCTTTCAGTCTTCTGAATCTTCTTTACTTTTGTTCAGAGACTTCCCTGATTAGTTTTGCTCTTCGTGTGCTTGCCATATAAGGAAAAGCGTGAAAGTGCTCAATCTCTTATTCTTCTCTCCCTTTTCAACTTTTTTCTCGTTTTATTTTTGTTTGTTTTTTTGTTTTCTCAATCGTTAACATAGAAGAAACAAATATTTTGATAGCGACTTCTCGTTGATTTTCCAATTTCTTTTAATGATTTCTCGTATGTTTCAAATAGATTTCATTCGGCCATTTCATCCGTTTTATGAGAAATTTTGGTTTTTTGTTTCTTCGATAATGCCAGTTTTCTTTGTTAAAATTTAATTTTAGGGCTTTAATAGATATTTCAATTCAGCTGCTTGTCTCTGTTTTCGGTGTTATTCTGTTTTTTCTGCTTTTTATGCCAATCAACTGCTCATTTGACTTGTCTGTCTCAACTGTCGATCTATGTTTGTCCATCATCAATCGCATCTTAGGCTTTTCCTTTTGCAATCGTCATCATCATCCGTTAAAGTCATCTGAAGAATGTCCAATTATGGAATACGTCGTTGGCATCGTCACTCTCTCTTTTTTTCTGTCATAAACTGAGTAGTTTGTATCATTGTAGTTGTTGAGAGGGGCAAGCACCGGCTGTCTTCTACGTTGTCTTTTTAGCTTCTGTTGCTGATGGTCGTCGTTTTCGTTGGCGGTGATCGTGTCGTCATCACATGGATTCTTCTTTCTCTTTTTCTCATCACATCCTTCGAAAAGCTAACCATTTTATCTTTTGCTTACGAAGCTTCTTTGTGAGCAATGATGCGAAGCAACACACAACTCATTTATATTTCTTCTCTTGCCTTCTGCTTCATCATCCATCCATATCAGTGTAGGAGTATGTCTTCAATTGCTTCAACTACTCCTTTTTTGTTTTTCCTGGTCATCATCCGCCTTTCAAGCTATAACAAATTCGTTCTTGTTCATTCTTTGTTTCTTTAACTTTTTCATTCACTCGCGTTCAAGGCGTTGGCAATTTTACATCGCTTTGCTCGGTCGACTTTTTCATCTCAGCTTGTTAGAGGTAGAAAGAGCAAAAAAAACGTTTGACCGCATTCTTTTCAATATTTATAATAATAAAATCTTGTGTTTGTATTTTTTTGCCAAGTCAAAGAGAATGCTAGATGGCAATGAGTGTTGCAACATTGTTTTTTGCGTCTTTGCTCCACCCCATTCCGCATCAGCTTGTCTAGGTCCTTGTGTCTGCCATCTTCGGCTTCATCTTTTCCATTTTTAGTCATTTTTCCTTTTATTTAAAACTTTTATAAAAGTGTAACCATTGTAATTCCATCATCAATCAACCTCATCATTCATATTTCTCAATTTTATCTTCTCATCTTCATTTTTTTCTGTTTAGTTAAAATGTTTCCGTTTGTCTTCCTGTGCAAGGATGATAACTTTAATATTTCATCTTTTTTTCTCTTTCAGAAGCGTGTGAGTGTCTGCCTGTGAGTGTCTGTGAGAACAAAACGTTTAACTCAAGCAATGAACCGGCTTTTGAGCCTTCTATTGCTTCCGTTAGTGATTCTCGCAGGCGAGCAAATTTCAACGTCATCCAATTCATCCAAATGCTCTTTATTTTGGAGCTCACGGCAGAATCTTGGATATGGTCAAGGAGTACAGGTAATTTGTCTACATGTTCATTTATACTTTTGAAAACTCAATGAAGCAAATATGATTTTCTGGCTCTTTTGCGGTAAAAATTTATCAAAAGATGACATGTGTTGTTGGTGGATTTGTCAAGACTTGCCACATGTTTTGCCATAAAAAAATTTTTTTTCTTTATTTTCAACAACGTGGTTGAACGAAAAAACTTCTTTTTTTTTGCGCTGCCAATTCAAACCATTTTGTCGAAATTTCCGACTTGCTGGAG